AAATAGTCTCTAATTGAAAAAGTGTTTTATACATTGCAAGAGTTTTATTATTATAAAAACCAAACGAAAAAGAGGAATTTATATAAAAGCTAAAATTTATTTTACCTTATATATATAAGGTAAAGTACTAATTAACTATGATGATGATTATATTTGTAATATAATTAGGGCATTACACGTCCTAACAGAGTTCATGTCGAGGAATTAATTAATATGCTTAACAACATTATAACCTCATGAATCATTGATAACCAATTATAACCATCGTGTATATACTATACCATAAGCGACACATAAAAAAATCACGTAGTAATGTACCTCTCAATTTACTAAAGTCGCATTTTTATTAATGTTATTTTTTAACGGGTGATAACGTACAATCTCATTTTTTTAATGAATTATAATGGAATTGTTACTCCGTCCACGCATAGTATAGTAGTATACATTGGCTGGGTACCAGTTATGGGATGTATGGAAGTCTGAAAGTATAGTATTTTTTTTTATACAACTTAGAATGGCAAACAAGCTGACGGCTCACCTGATGGAAAGTGGTAACCGTCGCCTATAGACATGAGCAGTACCATAATAGAGTATACTGTTTCGCCCATGATACCCCCCATGCGTTTTCATTCCTGAGGACTCAGGTGTTATTTCTCTGTAAATTCACGCCAATAATATAATATAAATAAAGTATAATACAAGTAATAATGAGTATTATTAAAGTGGACGGATAATGGCTGAAACGATGATGATATGATATGATTTTATTATATATATATATATATATATATATATATATATATATATATATATATATATAATAAAATTAAAAAAAACAGTACAGAAGGTACGCGATGACGTTAACTTTATGATACTTATTTACGTTCATAAATAAGTATGTGATTCATTATGTATGATAAAGTCGACCGGTTCTTATCATATTTCCATATTAATTAAAATAAACCATTGACAAAACAAAATGGACGGCGAATGAAATCTCAGTCGTTTTTGTGGATTAATTATAGTATATAAGTAACTATTTTTTACAAAATAAAATAAACTTGTTTATTTATTTATTTTATACTTTATTGTACATATTGAGAATACATAAAAATATGACAGACGTAATTAGATGTACAAAGGCGAGCTTAACTCTAAAGAGTTCTCTTGCAGCAAAACCGAAAGCAGCAATAATGTCAGCGAGTAGAGCGGTGTACAATATTGTGGCAATTTTCAAACAAAAAGCACCAGACTTATGTTTAAAAAAAACCTATATGGGTAAAATAAATAATGACTTTCAAATAGGTATAAAACGCCCCAAGCTAACTGTAACCACATTTATCATAAAAATATTGCACAATAGACAGGAAGTTGCGGTGTCCTCAGCTTTGGTGAATAAATAGTGCATATAGAGGACAATACATGTCAAATTTCCTACCGTAATTATATTGTTATTGTAAACACGTCCTATGGTTACTTTTATTATAATCATAGTGTACTAATTTTATTATTTTCATGGAAATTTCCTTTAATAATATAAAAAGTGGTCAGTGAAGTCGTTCAGTCCATAAAGAGTTTCAGGGATATGATGTCACCCTGTCTTACACCTTTCTGCACTGGGATGTGTTTCGAACTCTGGTTCTGCGGGTCTACCATGAAATGAAATTCCGAAATTTCGGACTCAATTTCGTGTTTTTGTTTATACCAAAATCGGATCAATAAATGGAATTTAACATTTCGTTCGTCATACATCCTATCATAAAAGTCCAATGGAACAATATTTTAACATTTTTAGTATTTCCAAACGGCATGTATTATGTAATTTTAACATCAAATTTGTGTTTCGTTTGGCTCTGAAATTTCGGAAAACATTTCATGGTAAGCCCTCTATATTCGGATAGACATCGTAGTCTTACTGTACATACACTTCAACATTTCGATATACCTATAGTCAATCTGGTACCGCTGGAGGAGCTGTAGTATCGTGTCTCGACCGAATCAAAGGCTTTCTCATAGTCCAGAAATGCCAGACATAGTGGCAAATTATACTCTTCGGTCTCTCCTGATGAATTCATCGTGATGGGCTAACTGACCTGTTTTCATTCTACACCCTTCACTGGTGCTCTACCAGCGTATCCCGTTAGCGCAGGTGGTGTTACCATCCCATTTTCACGCATAAAAAAACCATGATAGTTTCCAGGGAGAACCGCAAGGAGGTCGACCTGGTTGGGTATATTGCTAGCAATGGGATAATCACTAATGTCTCGGCAGATTGCCCGGGATGGGCCCAGTGCTATGCGAACTTCAATTATAAAATTAACGACAGACCAACATGAGATTGGACCTCATCGATTATGAAAATAATGATCATAATCGATTCATATTTGGCGGCTACATTGCAAAAACAAAGATGTTAATTTCCTTTTTGTTGGATGATTTTTTTTTAATTTTCTTTTGTGGCGTTCACCCCGATATTAGGGTATTTTGAACAACAAAACGGGGAAACGACAGTAGTAATAAAAATACCTAACACAAACGAATTTAGAAAGGATAAGGATTAGGTCTAGGATATTTATAGGATATGAAGGATATACTTGTACATATGAGAAGATACTTATAAATATATAGGAAAAGCAATTGATGCAACTATAAATGTATTCATATAATATAACTAAATCTTAATATTGTTATCATTGGAAGAAAGAAGAGTAAGAATAGAAGTTGGGAATGGAACACGGATGGATCGTTGGGTGATCTAATTTGGATTGGGCCGGGATTCGGATTTGGAATTCCCTGCTCATTAAATGCTATTTACCAACTGTAGCATCGTAACGCGCCGAATATCTTACGTCATATTCTCAATAAACATAGATACGCGGTAAGCTCTATTCTTTATCTATGCCTATAAGCGGTTCTGATTCTGGCCAAGTTTATGTTCTGACGCAATTAATGTAGAACGAGTTTTTTCTCAATCTAGTTTATTTTTCCTTGAGTAGCAAATAACATGATATAGGAGCGAATGCTCTATTCAACATAAATGTTACTTGTGAAAACCTACTTACTGGTTTGTTTTGTGATCCTAAACTGTATCTATTTGCTCTAGTGTAGCCCCAGTTTTCCCGTGAATAAATTATATAAAATTTGAATTTCTTTGTTAGACTTTTATAAATTGAAATATTGCCCATTTTAACTTTAAAAAACGTAAGAATCCGAACAAAATAAGACTGTTTTTTACATTATGCGATATCTTAACAATTGTGAAATGATTTTGACTATTTTGTTTCCGTAACTAGTTTCTTGTGGATTTTTTTTTTTAATTATTTTTAAATAGTTGTGAATTCTTTTTTAAAAAGAATGCAACCCATTCAGGTATAAACACTAGAGAGTTAGATTTAAACGAATTTGATGAAAACGGTATGACTACTCTTTCAGTACACACTGGCGGGGTACCAGAGAAGGGTGATAAGTGAAGATGATGTATAGAGGGTTAAAACAAAATCGTTAATACTTATTTTCTACCATTGAAATTGATTGATTTTCAAATTATCAAAAAATTACTGCTTACTTTGTTTTCCTTTTTAAATTTTTTATACACGAAATTTCTAATATATTTCATAGTATAAGTAGAGTATTACATACGACTAACGACTTCGATTTCACCATTTATATATATAGAAGCCTTTACGAGATAATCAAAATTATACAAAAGATATTTTTATTAATATCTATTTAAATTGATTGATTTTTAAATTATTAAAAAATTACTGCTTACTTTTTTCCTTTTGAAATTTTTGATACACGAAATTTTTAATATATTTCATAGTATAAGTAGAGTGTTACATACGACTAATGACTTCGATTTCACCATATATATATATATATATTATATATATAGAAGCCTTTACGAGGTAATCAAAATTATACAAAATATATTTTTATTAAAATCTATTTAATGTATCAACTATCTATCTATCTTATTATGCCAGTCTATTTGACAATAATAAAGGAACACATTATCTATATTTACATTAGAAATCAAAATACAACATACTTATTCATATAAACAAATATAATCTGTGAAAACTTTTATAAGCCTTTTGTTTGATGTTAACAAACGAGATATTTAAAATTGTTTGTGAACATTAAATATTCTTTCTCATCATTCAAATCAAAACATTGCTAAATTTTGTGTTACTATGGCACACGCATGAAGGAACGGTAGGAAAGGAGATTGTTAGATTATATATTTTGTTTTTGTATTTTTTTTTTTATTCGTGCTTTTTTTATTTTTATTCTTTTGTCTCTTTTGCTGTGTATTACGTGTATGTTTTTTTTTATTGTAATTTGTGTGCTGTAAGTAATGTAAATAAATTATCTATCTATCTATCTAAATGTCCCTTGTGTACTATTTCAAATTTTAAAAATATTTAACAATAGGCACCCATAAACCTCATAACATTTAAAACCACAGAGAAAAAAGAACAAATCTTTCTTAATTTTCACTGAGCTTACATTCATCACAAAATTTTAATAATTATTACTTTTAACAATATTATAAATATATACATATATTTATCCCTTTATAAATAAAGTATATATTCAGAAATGGAATGTCTATTTATAATAGGAATAGCAAAACAAACGCCTTACGTACGTCACGGACGTCACAGTGTATTCTGTGTTATCCATTAGGTAAGTTGATCGTCAGTTTGTTTGTTGTATAATTTCTATTAATAAATTATCACGATTTTATATATTAAGTATAAACTTAGAATGGCATTCAAGCTGACCGCCCACCTGATGGAAAGTGGTAACCATCGCCTATAGACATGAACAGTGCCATAAACATAACATAGTAGTGTCGCCCCTTATACCCTTCATGCGCATAAAAAAATTAACATAAATGTTACTAGATATTAAATTTACTTTAAAAAAATATATATCTAAGCTGAATCTCCTTCTAATGCAAGTTCTAACATATAATAGAGAGCTTAAACTTAAATTTTATAATTATATAAGTAATATATGTACAGAATTACAAATACATTATTCCATATTGGTCTAAAGTCTAAACGAAAGCCCCAGTTTTGTTGCTATTCTCTCTAGTGCTCTATCCGTTTGCTAAAAGCTGTTGGTAACAAAAAAAATTAGAGATATGGACTTTTGTCTGCGATATCTCCATTAATTATTTTTGCCATCAACAATGTACACTCTATTGGTTTCGTACTTATTTTGTCATTATTTAAGTAGTTTTTTGTGAATATCTTAAGACGAGTTGTTAAAACCAGTTTTACGTCAATATTTGTAAGAAAAATTGATACTGGCAGCTAGGAACAGTTTAAATGAAAAAAAGAAAAAAAAATGTTCATTAAAAGATCATTCCTGGGAGTACAACGAATATTTAAAAAAAGAACTAAACTTATCCTTCCAGTCTCGAGTTTTTCGAGCGACTCATTTGGAGATTCATTTTTTTTTATATTAAATACTAATATTTCTAAATAATATCAATACCTCGTGGATATAATAAAGGGCATTTAATAGTATTTTTATATAGGTAGGTATACTTAATTTGCTCAAATTCTTAATATAATATTGAACATAGCTGCCTCATGTTTGTAAAATAGTGTAAAAATCTATGATATAACTAAATACATATATACCGTAACAATAAATAGAAAGTACAAAGGTAAAAGTAACATTCTTATAAGAGTACTTTCTTTTTTCAGTGCTGTAACAAATAAAACGTACCCTGTTTATATATTATGTACCCAACAGGGCTTTTACCTTACAACCAGCATACAGGTTGGTAGGGCTGTCAAAAAATGCTACAAACATTTTATATCATGGTAAAATACATATTTAATCTAATATCAATAATATTTCTACTCAATTATTCCTGGATCCTTACTTAATAGACACTTCAAAAGCCGATGTATAATACACAAAAACTCATAATTGTTAAGACCCTAAATCCGCCTCTGTATACCTACCTAAGAGTTTACTAGTACACTAAATAATGTGCCAGTTATATTACATCAAATGAGCGACATTTTACTTTTTACAACAAAGATTTTTTATTCATATTTAATTCAATTAACAAACATAGGTCTACTAGTGACCACGGCCGGTGTAAACTTCGAAATATAATAATTTAGGTAAATTATCACAATTTAACTAACCAACGTGTTAATTAAAATCTCTTATAAAACACAGGGCACAATCAAGGGCGAGGCCAGCTGGATAAATGCCTAAAACGACAAAATGAATGTAAGTTAAAACAGTTATTCATTGCCCGAGGCGGCAAAATAATTAGATCGGGCCCTGGCATGGCCGTAGCTAGGGAGGGCATTGAGGGGCAATGCCCTACCTTAAAAGGTCCAATGCCCTACCTTAAAAGGTCCAATGCCCTACCTTAAAATGAAAGGCTTCAAAAAATATAGATTCACTTTTTCGAAGTCTCTTAATTATGGATTCTCCCCCACCTAAAAGTTCTTTTGCCCTACCTTAAACTTGGGTTAAGTTACGGTCCTGGACCCTGGATCAATAACATTATTTAATTTATACACCTATTTATGCATCAAATAAGTGGATTTTAGTTAAGCTATCTCTTGTAGGATCTCCATAAGATGGCTGTTTTCTATATAAATTGCATGGCTCCAATTATATAATATATAGTAGTTGTTAAAAGTATATAAAATAATAAAAAAAAAAGTATTTTTATTATTTTATATACTTTTATAAATTCACGTTTAGTCCTTGTAATAGATCCACTATTCAATACAATAATAACAAGATAATTTTATTAATTTGCTAGCCATATCCTGCAGGTTTGCTCATATAAATGTGTATAACAAATTTCATCTAAGTCCATAATTCATTTTTGAAATTTAAGTGTGGTTGACTTATAAACATCTATATGATTTTTTTTACAAACTTTGACATTTATAATATTAGTAATATTTTACACAAACAACATGTTTTTTTTTTCTTAGAAAAGAAAAAACTAGTTTGTTTTAAATGGATTATGACAACAATATTAATATATTCTTTCTGATCAATAATTGTGTGGCATTTTGACTTAGAATAACATCCATTTGCAATAAACTACAGGGTATCAGGTTAATATAATGATGGCTGTTGATAGAACCCTCCAAAAACAATTGTATTTGTAGTTTTTTCTACAATTACATAAGTGAACGGACGGTTCGCTTCAAAACGTATTGTGCCAATACGGTTACTGAACTCTGCTAACGTAACTCCAGACGCAGTTGTTCCCTCTTCTGTCACTTCAATCTCAGCTTTATGTATTATCTTCGATACGTACAGTGGTGTACGTGCCATAAACGGTAACCGTGCTCTGTTCTCATCGAACAAATCAACAATATTAAATTGATTCTTCAGTATTTCTGTCAAGTCGAGGTTAGATTCAATTTTGAAGCGTGGTATAAAGCAGTCCACTTCATCATCACCGTATTCTTCTTTAGCAATTTTCAATTCCTCAAAGATTCTGTCCAATGTCACTCTGTAGAAGTTGAAAAACATATCTTCCACTGATACTCCAGGGTGGGGTAACATGATAAGCATTGATAACCTATTCTCCACACCATACGGTATTTCTATGACTCGTGCCTTTAATTCTTGAATATTGGCAAATGGGTATGTGTTGCGATTATACATCATGTTCACTTCACCAATCTTTTCACTTTTACTGTTGAAGAACGGCATTCGCATCGTTGATGAGGCATTGAATGGCAACGTCCACTGACCTCTGAAATACAGGCCACTTGTGAGAACCATTGGAGCATTCCGGAAGATACTACTGTCAACTAAATCCTTTATTCGTCCATGTGTGACATTCGAGATGGCACGGTTAATAGAGTTCGCTGCATTTTGAGAATCCGTAAAGTTCAATGGCACCAGGTCTGTGTCATAATAATTCTTCGCTAGAGCTCTAAAGTCAATCAACGGGAGATTGTCTATGTTTACAAAGATCGCATTGATCTTGGCTAATTCCACTGTTTTTGTGTTCACTAATAGGTATTGAGCTATGTTTCGGAACTGGTTTCTTGTGGATTCTCTATTTTTTAATGACAATCTAATGGCTTTGTGAATTTGTGCTAATGTAGTGTGCGAAGCACCCTCAGATATGACGGCCAACACCGACCACACAGTTATTGGTGACACTATCAGGTTCTGTGTATGATTCTGTATCTTCGACGTGTGATATAACAGTTCCACTGAGAAATTACCGATCCTCTCCGTTAGTCCAATGTGGAGATTAGGCGGTGGCGGCGTATTGAGGGGCACTGGGGGGACATTGCTTTGTCCAGAACATAACACAATTAAGAACACACAAAATAACAATTTTACCACTGAATTGCACATTTTGTCAATAAATTAATATAATATAAAGTTTGCAATGTTCACAACTAATTTATTTACAAAATAAAAAAGAAATACTATTCTAATTTAATAAAAATTTCGTTATGTAGTAGTCATCGCGCGAAGCACTGTGCAGACAATCGTCACGCACCGCGTACGAGGAAGACTGACCGGTTTCTGTTTGCTGCGCAATGACTATATAAACGTGTTTAATTTATTATAATCGCCATTTAATATTTACATTAATTAATCGCTCAAACAAAACAAATATAATACCTATGTAATTATTTACCTATACCTAACTCACGATGGCAAAGTTTGTTTTGTTTTGATCTTGACTTTTGAGTTTTAATGACGTCATGAAGTGAGTGATGTGACGTTTGATTTAGGCTGAGGGGAGATTCCGTTTTACGCAAATTTAAGAAAAGTTCCTGTTGCTAGCAGCTTGGCTAGCCGGTCTTTTTTATATACATATGTGTTTGTATTTTTTATATTATTCTTTTTTTATATTCTTTTTCATATAAATATGTTTTTAACATGAGTTTAATAATTCAATATATATAGAATGGTAATAGGGTTATTAAAAAGGATAGGTTATATTGCTAGCAATGGGGCAGTTAGACCTCATTGCAAACAATTTCTTCTCCCCGATAGTCAGGTCACATAGTTTATGGTGACGAATTTACCAGGAATCCATGATAGTTTTTAACACACTACCCGAAGAACAGGGTTAGCAATGGAGATGTTAAATTCCACTACTAAGAAATCCTTAAGTTACGTTAGTGACCAAAAGGAGACTATGTACAAAAGTCGATTGCTTGGGTGGCTCTGTCCTATTCGTGTATCAACCGTGAAGCAGCTGTGTTTGCATGGCTTTGTTTCGGTTTGAAGGGTGGGATATGGCGTGAATTTACAGGGTACAGAGGAATAACGCCTGAGTCCTCAGGAATGGCAACGCATGGGGGGTATCATTAGCATAACAATATACTCTGCTATGTCCATGGTACTGCTCATGTCTATAAGCGACGGTTACCACGTTCCATCAGGTGGGCCGTCCGCTTGTTTGCCATTCTAAGTTGTATAAAAGAAAAATAGTTTTTTAATGGTTGAAATAATAACACTACTTTAACCTGCCTGCGCTAACGGCGCGCTGCTGGGGCACCAGTGAGATATGATAAGTGAGAATAAAAGCAGATCAGTTGGCTATTTGAGACGAATTTAATAACCACAATGGTTTCCAGGGGGAATCGCGTGGAAGTTGACTTAATGATGTATATTCCTAGTAATGGAGCTGTTATATATGCATTAGCAATAATTCTTTCGCCTCAATAAACCATGACATGTCGAATTTCATACGATTATGTCCTTCCTGGAGACCATTGTGAACACGCTACAATAGGCGAACTAATACAACTTGAGAATCCACCCTCACACCCTAGAACCGGAATGTTCACCGCACAATACCGCACAAATACCAGAGGGAGACTTTGTACAAAAGTCGATTGCTTGGGTACGTCTGTCCCATTCGTGTTTCAACCGTGAAGCATGGCTGTGTTTCGGTTTGAAGGGTGGGATATGGCGTGAATTTACAGGGTACAGAGGAATAACACCTGAGTCCTCAGGAATGGCAACGCATGGGGGTATCATGGGCGAAACAGTATACTCTGTTATGTCCATGGTACTGCTTATGTCTATAGGCGACGGTTACCACTTTCCATTAGGTGGGCCGTCAGCTTGTTTGCCATTCTAAGTTTTATAAAAAAAAAAAAAAAAAAAAAACAATGTAGGTTCAGAGGAGTTTTGTTCCGCGAACATTCAGGTGTTGGACTGGTCTTCCTGGCGAGGTTCTTTAAAAATGATGTATTAAGGTTTCTTAAAGGTCGGCAACAGCCATGGTAGGAGCTGATGGAAATGGTATGGTAACCCTGCCTGGGCTGTCGGTATATACTGGCGGGGTACCAGTGAGAGATGATAGGTGAGGATGAAAAGGCAGGTCAGTTAGTCCATCGTGACGAATTGAACAATAAATTAGTCACGATAGTTTCCAGGGTGATCCGCGTGGACGTCGACCTGATAGGACGTATTGAAAGCAATGGGGACTAATCTCCCTATTACTAACAATCGCTCCCTCCCCTGGTAGGGGGAAGGGATTGTTAGTAATACGAGCTACTAGTCCCATTGCTAACAATATACCTTATCAGGTCGACCTCCACGTGGTCCCCTCTGTAAACCATCGTGCTGAATTCCAGGTGTATTCATCACGATGGGCTAACTGACCTGCCTTTTTACATTCTTCACTGGTACCCTGCCAGTGTATACCGTTAATGTAAACGGGGTCACCATTCCATTGCCATCCATTAAAAAAAAGTCCCTGGTATTACCTGCATCCAGAGGCTACGGTAACCCCATTTATCATCAGACAGGCCTTATGCTTGTTTGCCACCATAGTAGTATGAAAAAGGGAAAAGATTATTAGTAATGAGATCTAAAAGATAGCGTTTATTTCTAGCTATGGAGTAATAAATCCCCATTACGAACATTTCCTTTTTCCTCATATCAATTGACATGATGCACACAGCGGATGCGTCTCAGTTGATTATCAGTGAGTTCCAATAAAAACCGCTTCCCAACATTAATAAACGAGGAAAAAAATACATATCTATACCAAATGCAATACATATAAATATTAAAGTTAAAATTTTGCATTAAAGTAGTCTTCAAGTGAATAAAAACATTCCTCAATAAGCCAATTTGCGGAGAAAGGGATTGTTAGTAATGGAGACTGAGAATCCCATTGCTAGCAATATACCCAACCAGGTCGACCTCCTCGCGGTTCCACCTGGAAACTATCATGGTTAAGTCCTCATGAATTCATCATAATGGGTTAACTGGCCTGTTTTCATTCTCATCTATCGCCCTTCACTGGTGCTCCGCCAGCGTATCCCGTTAGCGCAGGCGGTTACCATACCATTTTCACTCATCAAAAATAAATAAGCCAATTTTTCATTAAATTTTTTGTCTGTCAGATCTCTGTATTGTGTGGGTAATCTACACTAATATTATAATGAGGAAAGATTTGTGTGTATGTTTGTAATGAATAAACTCAAAAACTATTTTGACGATTTCAAAAATTCTTTCACCACTAGAAAGCTACATTCACCCTGAGTAACATAGGTTATATTTATTGCTAGAAAAGATTAGGGATACTTACTAAAACTTTAATAACATAACTCAAGGTGTAAAAAAAAATGCTATAAAATATCTTTCGTCGCGTGCGCTGCGGAAACTATTGGTGATAGAACAAAAGTATGTTCTACAATATTAAAGAAAATATCAATAACTACAAAAGACTTCGCGATACTATATATCCAACTATTATCGTTATGTCACAACAACCACTTTTTAAAATGTTGTAAAAATGTCCACCAGTGCGAAGCCGGGACGGGCTGCTAGCTTATTATATATTTTAACTGCCATGTAGTAACAATTCTTGTTGTACAATACCAATCTATGTCGAGGCACTAAAAGTGGTATCTGTGCAAATTTTCTATTAATTTACCAGAGGGAGACTTTGTACAAAAGTCGATTGCTTGCGTACCTCTGTCCCATTCGTGTTTCAACCGTGAAGCAGTTGTGTTTACATGACTGTGTTTCGATTTGAAGGGTGGGATATGGCGTGAATTTACTGGGTACAGAGGAATAACACCTGAGTCCTCAGGAATGGCAACGCATGGGGGGTATCATGGGCGAAACAGTATACTTTGTTATGTCCATGGTACTGCTCATGTCTATAGGCGACGGTTACCACTTTCCATCAGGTGGGCCGTCAGCTTGTTTGCCATTCTAAGTTGTATAAAAAAAAATTATAATGTTTCGAGTAGATCATAAGAACCTTATGGTTTGGCCATTCATTACGAACGTAGTATAGGTACTTACGTCATTATTTACTTATTCTTTGCATCCGCATTTACTTATCCAATGGACTTTACCGTTTTCAGAATGTATTTTTTTTTAAATAAAGCCCAAAGCGTCTTATACAGAATTTTACGAAGACAAAAGCAGCCTTATTTGAACATAAATTGAATGTGATTTATCCTTACATAAATAAGTAAACCATTGTGTCAACTGTTAACTGTCCACTGCTGGACAAAGGTCCTTCCCTATAATGAGACTGTAACACGATTATCACAGAATAGCTTTTATTTATGCAACTTAAAATAGCAAACAAGCTGACGGCTCACCTGATGGAAAGTAGTAACCGTCGCCTATAGACATGAGCAGTAACATGGACATAATAGAGTATACTGTTTCACCCATGATACTCCCCATGCGTTACCATTCCTGAGGACTCAGGTGTTATTCCTCTGTACCCTATAAATTCACTGCCATATCCCACCCTTCAAACCGAAACACAGCCATGCAAACACAGCTGTTTGACAGTTGAAACACGAATGGGACAGTGGTGCCCAAGCAAACGACTTTTACGTTTTAAAGCTATTACCACAGATAATATAATACTACTATTATTAACAGTCCCTGCTTTCTCTCCACATATATTTAGTTACATATATTCTATTATGACAACCAAAAATTGCTCAGTATTTGCAGCCAATATTAATTTAATTATTTATAAAAAAAGAAGAATTTTTGATTGGAAATACCCAAGACAGAGTTTGGTAGTAATGGCCCGACTTACTTATGACGTATTTATTTTAAATGTTTAATAATTGCTTCGCTGTGGATCTGATGCAATACAGTGTAATATTTCAAATATGTATAAGTTACTAAAAACTGGAAACTAACTGTACATACATACATCTGTGGGTGGAGAAAGGATCGTTAGTAATAGGAATTAGCAATTCTATTGCTAGCAATATACCCTGTCAGATTGACCTATGCAGTTCCCACAGAAAACCATCGTGATTAAATCTTTTTAAAATTCGTCACGATGGGCTAAATGACCTGCTTTTTTTTATACAACTTAGAATGGCAAACAAGCTGACGGTCCACCTGATGGAAAGTGGTAACCATCGCCTATAGACACGAGCAGTACCATGGACATAACATAACAATGGACATAACAAACATAAAAAAATACAGTTTTTTTTTATTAATGATAATGGAATGGTAACCCCGCCTGCGCTATCGGTATACATTGGCAGGGCACTGAGAGATGATAGGTGAGTATGAAGCAGGTCAGTTAGCCCACCGTGACGTATTTAACAATAAATCAATCACGATGGTTTCTAGGGGGAACCACGAGGAGGTCGACCTGATATATGTAGTATATTGCTAGCAATGGGGCTACTAATCCCCATTACTAACAATTCCTTCTCCCCTCCGATTCAAAGTTATTTATAGTTTGTCGACCCATATTACTTTGTTGAAAATGTTCAATTTTCCTGGTAGAACGAATGTCTTCTTGAAGAGTTTGAAGGGATGACAGATTTTGATTCCATCCTGTAGGCATATATAAAAAAACTCAAGACTGAACTAAAAACTCAGCTAAATATATAAAACTCAATATTGGACAATGTGGCACTTAAAACATTTTACCTATCCAGCGTCTATAAGATATCACTAACTGGGTATTTTATGCTAATGGCCTTTTTTTAGAGTTTGCTGTTTTATAAAGTAATATGTAGGTATCTATCTTTTTATTTAGTTTGAATACTGCTTTATCCAGACAAAATTAACCGAAAACACACACGTTTTCATAGAATTTCGACCGCAGACAACACTTGTATAAACAGTCTTTTTTTTTTATTTAGTAACTGATAATGGAATGGTAACCCCATCTGTGCTATTGGTATATGTGAGAAGATAGGTGAGGATGGAAACAGGTCAGTTAACCCATCATAACGAATTCAACAAGAATTAACTGTGATAGTTACTAGAGAACCACGAGAAATCCTAATTGCATCCTCACGTATTATTTGTTACTGGTGCTCAGCCAGCGTATCTCAATAGCGTAGGCGGGTTACCATTCCATTTTACCCACAAAAAAAAAAGGAATGGATAATATTGAGCGTTTTATATGTGGACCGGTTGTCGCTGTTAATTCATTTGAGATATGATAGAGGTTTACTCGACATAATCCTTTAATCTAGGGTTTAGGGATTAAACCAAAGATTTTGGAATTGTTTTAGGATTAAACCGTATCGGCATTTAAGAACAAGGAATAACATTGACATTCATTTATAATTTGGTCTTAGAATTCGTAGCGTTCAGTATTGCCATTGCGTTATTTTTGTAACATTTTGCGTTACTTTTGTCTCTATAGAGTTACTCCCGCGTTACATAAAAAAAAATGTTACAGATAGATAAATACCTACTCTTTCTTATTCCCTCCAAAAAATTATAATAGTAAACTTATTATCAATACAAACGATTACAAGAAATTATCACAGTGAGAAAACAATGGACAGCCTTATTGCTAAAAGCGATCTCTTCCAGGCATTGCAGGCATTTCCAGGCAGTTTGATCGGAGGCATGTTGAAAATTCTATCTATTCAAAATATGAAAATGTAATACATGTAATAATGTAAATATATATCCCTATTCATTATATATATCATCATTTCAGCCATTATCCGTCCACTGATGGACGTAGGCCTTGCCCATAGACTCATAAGAAACAGTCCTGAACCACCGGCTACTTTTTATAACTTATTTCTTTAAGATCATCTGCTGCGCGAATAGATATGATGATACTATATGATGTTTAAATAAATGATACAAATGATACTTATAGACAAATGTGCTTATGCAAGTACTCAGTATTGACATGAGTTAAACCCGAAAGAACGTGGCTGAGCGTCTTTCTGGGATGGCAATATGCTAGATAGATACCCTAAATGCTATTCTTCAGAATGCTCTTTCCCCTAATCATCTGATCCTATATTGCACATATAAAAACTTCGGTTTCTCCGAAGAGAACACAGAATTGTTGCACGAAAGTCTTAATTTTAACTTAAGGGTTGTAAAGGACTTATAAGGACCTTTTGTGTAACTCTTTATTTTCCCATATGGTTTCCTCTTGAGAGGTGCCTTGTACTTCGGATTTTTGTCAATCCTCTTTGGCGAAAGTAAGAGAGGTGAATCCATTGTCACATTATACGACCACTTTATGCATACTTTCTTCTTTTTTCTTTAGAAAATATACCCTGAGGCTGTCAATCATACAGTTGTGCATTGGCTTAATGCTGAATTAGTCCAGATTATTAGTTTTTCGCGGGATGTATAGCCTTATGACTGATAACTTTGGGTAATGTTTATTATGGAGGATCATATTTGTGCTGCGTTTTTGATCCCAAGGTCTATTTAAGACAATCTAATTATGCCAAAAGTGTAAAGGAGTATGGGTATAACCCAGCTGTTATAAGCTCGAATTTTCAATTCAATTCAATTCAATTTATTTTATTCGTTACAATATTTATTCAGGACTGACAAGGAACTTTTAGTATTCTTGTTACTTGCGCAAAAAAATCCTCCTAGATAGACACTGATATTGCCTAGACACCGGTATGTTTCAGCCTCGGAGAGGATTTTAATATTAGAGGGATTATCATCATTATTTTCTACATTCTCGGCTTTTCGCCTGTGTTATAATTATTAAGACAGATTTATTTATCTTATAATGGTATATTTATTAGTAACTCACTTTTTCAGTTTGTCTCATCACTTAATTTTTTAAATATAAATGAATGATATTGATAACAATTTGCATTGATTAATGTGAATATTTGTGATATTGATATGTGATGAAACGGAGATATGTAAGTGTTCATAAAAAATGCAGTCCTGTGTAACATTTGAATATCGGTATTCGGTATTGGCAACACTGGCAATGTCAATCAATTAAAACTACATCAAGTTTTAAAATTCTCCATAGTCTGCAATTATCATTTATAAATCATTACACTAGTAGAAAGACTTAAAATATTCTTTCAGAATTCACAGTGCAAAACTAGACGAAGTGATTATATATATAAACGCATTTAAACAAAACAACAAATTTGGAAAGAAAAAATATTGAACTTACAAACAAAAACAGAAACTAGGAGAAAACAGGGTAGGTGTAGTAGAACAAAAAGTTTAGAAAATGCGACCAAAGAACTTACCTAAATATATAGAAATATATAATTTACCGTTTCACGACGATGAAAACGTAGACGAATTGGTGCAAAAAGTGGCAGAGAAATTAAATCTACAAACAGATGGCATAAAAAACTCGCGTCGCCTTAAAGGCAGAGAAGACCGGGTTGGAAATATAGAAGTGGTGCTAAATGGGAAAAATATTCAAGAGCAATGGATTGCAATGGCTAAAAACACCTCGATCACTGTTACAGATATTATGCCAGAAGAAAATAATAAAAAGGTGGTGTATGTTAGGGAAAAAATGTCCTTACTGAATAAGGCAATTTTATGGCATGCAAAACAAGAATTAAAAATTAAACATAACTATAAGTACGTGTGGTTTAAAAAAGGCGTTGTCAAGGCTTGCAAAGAGGACAATGGAAAAGTCTATTATCTGAAGACACTGGAGGATGTATATAGATTGTCACAAAAAACCACTGTGTAGCTACTTACTCAGTATTTATAACCTATTCAGTATTTTGTATTTCATTAATTGTAAGTACACCAAATTACATTGTGTGATGAAATTCACAAACTTATAATAAATCACTTCTTAGAATATATAGATATATATTAAATAAGCCTTCTATGCATGTGTTCAATATTAGTAAATAAGGAAATGAGTATTTCTTATATAATAAAAGTGTTTAAGTAAGGATTAATAAATAAGGATAGATTGATTCTATAACTCAATATTGTTCACTATTTCATTGCATTTATATTTTTTCTTATGACTAGTGTAGTTTTGGAATGTAAATATCTGCTGAGAAGAAGCTACAAGAAACTCAGCAGTTACTTTTGTTTTTTTAAATTAATATGTTACATATTGTTTATACTATATGTTAATTTAGAATTTAATAAACTATATTATAGAAATATATATTACCTTATAGTTTGATCACCGAGACTGCTAGAATAACAACAATTATGAGACTCGAACGCAAGACTGATTTAAGACTGTTATTTAAATATTACACTTAGATTAATTTAAATTAAATATAAATTATTAAAGTATTACATTATCTCACAGAATAGTTAATACTACCTACATATATATTTTTCTACTAACCTTGTTTTAAATAACTTTCAAATCACTTGTTTTATATTTTAATGAAATCAGAATATCAACAGAATGTTGATAACACATATAATATGTTGATATCACATTTGTTATAAAATATGTGATATTTCATGACATCATTTCATTAAATTAAAAATAAAGCCTTATATTGATACCATCATGTCAATATATGTACTTTTATATACCCATCCTATTATATTATTGAATTTGGGCATTTTTGGTTATGTTTTTTTTGGCATTTTTGGTTATGTTTTTTGGGCATTTTTGGTTATATTTTTTCATATATTGTATTTTATTAACAGTGCATTTACATTTTGTTTAATGTATAGTTTATGATAAATTTGCATTTGCTGATCTAAAATGTCATTGATTTTGGCAAAAAGATGGTGACATTCATCATTTTTAATTTTATAGATAGGGTATTCAAGTTTTGTCAACTTGTAATCACATTTCGACCGACTTCATTAAGAGAAAAAAACAAGAATTTTCCCATACTGGTACTTGGCGTGAATTTACTGGGTACAAAGGAATAACACCTGAGTCCTCAGGAATGGCAACACATGGGAGGTATCATGGGCAAAACAGTATACTCTGTTATTTCCATGGTACTGCTCATGTCTATAGACGACGGTTACCACTTTCCATCAGGTGGGCCGTCAGCTTGTTTGCCATTATAAGTTGTATAAAAAAAAATAAAAGAACCTACATTTCATGCACACAATGTTATACTAAGTGTTGATTGTGTAATATTTCTATTATGTAGATATTACCTAAATAATATGTACCATACTCTATTCACAGCCTAATTGTTTTTTAAGTGGCTATGCCATTATTGATAAGTTTTGATTGATGTAGTTTAATGTCTTGTAATTTTACCTATATCATCGATATGATGGTAGCGGTACACGGTAAAGCCATAAGACTTATGATTTGTTCCTTTTATAACATTGTATTTTGTTCTTAATAAAAGTATATTAATCAATTTTTTTTTATTTTAAAAATTAAGCGGTAATTCCACAAACCTTTTTAGTATACCAGCGAGGACACCATTGAGAGAAGATGAAAATAGAAGGGTCTGCTATAAAAAGTAATTTCGAATTTACGGTCTCAATTTTCGTGTTTTTGTTCATACTGAATTTGGCCCAGTAAATAGAGTTTAACATTTAATTTGTCATAAATACTACTACAAATGTCCAAGGGAACGATCCTTTAACATTTTTAACTCATCTTTGCATAACTTTTTTTTAAATGGTTAAAAAAATAAATTTGACAGCTATGTTTTTTTTTCTGCAATGGACATTAAAAAGGTAATTTGTTCTTTTATATAATTTTTGGGCATTCAGTTATGATGGAAATTTCCACCATTATGCAAAGAAGGGTTAATATGTTGAAACAGAGTGTATTATGCAATTTTAACATCAAATTTGTGTTTCTTTTGAAATTTCGATTTCGAAAATTCGGAAGACATTACATAGTAGACCTTCAGGAACCGCGTGGAGGTCGACCTGGTAGGGTATATGGATAGTAATGGAGACTAACCTCCCAGTTACTAACAATCCCCCCCCCCCCCAAATCGGTCTTGTTCGTAGAAGAATTTGCGTTAGTCCTTATCAAGGTCGGACGGCGGCGCGACAGAGGATACTAAACAATAGGTTTGCAACAACATTATTTTCCTCTATTAAAAAAGTATCCCATATACCTATTTCATTTAATAAATACAAGAATAAATATGGGTTTTGTATGAATGGGCAGTGGGTACTACTGACAGAAGCAGGTACCTAATGTTTTTTTTTTCAAACCATACACCAAAATCTAAGCCAAGTAAATTTTTTTATTCAACTTAGAATGGTAAACAAGCCGACGGTCCATCTGATGGAAAGCGGTAATCGTCGCCTATAGACATGAGCAGTACCATAGATATAACAGAGTATATTGTTTCGTTCATGATACCCCCATGCGTTGTCATTCCTGAAGACTCGGTATTATTCCTCTGTACCCTGTAAATTCACCACCTATTGCGGATATCCATACATAAGTCTCTTGTTTCCTACATTTATAACTCTTGCCTCCTTTTTTAGATAGAAGATTGTTTATTTAATCATAAATCTTTGGTCTAGGCTTCCTTCGATATATGACCTACACTAATTTACTTTCCATTCTGTGTAATTTATGAGGATACCTTTAATTTTATGTAATTTAGCAGTCCACCTGATTGAAAGTGATAACCATCACCAACAGATATGAATTGCACTATTTTCATCACAGAATAATAGTGATATTATGCCCATGGTACCTCTCATGCGTTGCCATTTCTGAGGACTACTATGTTATGGCTTCCGTTCCCTGCAATTTCTATTTTTTTTTATACCACTGAGGTGGCAAACAATACCAGGGGTATTACGCGCGTTGCTGACCTTATCCCTCCCCCCCTCTCTGAAGAGTCCTATGCTGTAGTCTATATATATAACCATGTAATTTCTGTTTGTAAATAAAACTTACTTTTTTTTAAATAGACATTATTTTATTTTTTAAATATTCACAGATTACATATTCTGATTGTTTTGTTATGTATTATTATAATCATTCTATATTCTAGTCATGGTATAGATTGGAATCGATAAATAATTTTTTGCATGCTCAGACACTGCTGTGTGGTCTGGCTACAGAATAGGCCATCCCATCCTTTCCTGTAGGTGTCGTAAGAGACGACTAAGGGAACTTAATAGTCGAGGGATGGGCAGCAGCGGCTTTCTTAAAACATCACCAAGCCAACTACTGCCAAAACCCCCCAATAGAGGGAGACTTATGTTCAATAGTTAATGGCTGATTATGAGGATGACGCTCATGCCAACGGTTATAACGCTTTAAACAGTATAAAAACGAAATTTAAATCAAATATGTGCCTAAATATGTCTAAATCTCTGTTTTTTTTTTTTTTTTTTTTTTTTTATAATATTTTAAGGGCTTTTACCTTCTTCAGGTATATCAGTCCTATTGTACCCTGAACTGATTTCTCCATATTATTAAAATAAATTGACAATAATAGATTGTAAATGTCTATAATGAAAGAGTAAATTTGCTGTGTGTACGTAATAAACATTCTAGTCGTCCAATTTCTTAATATAGTAGAAACAAGAAATTAAAACAAAATTGTGATTTTTCTGATGAAAGTTTCTTATTATATTGTAAAATATATAATTTAAACCATAATTTAATATGTTCGCTCTTTGTATCAAACATTTTTTGTTGTCAATTGTCAATGTGGTCAATAAAGTATACATAAATAACATAAATGTATGTTTAATGGATGATGATTGATGATGATGATTTTCCAATAATAAATAAATAACAGGTAAGTATATATACAAACAACGTGAGCATTTTTGATCAATTGTCATATTATATCATACCTTTATATTATTCTCAATTTCGTGTATAATACAGTATATATCATATATGTGTAAGTATATTTGTTATTCATATATATTTATTCGTTTATATATGTAATTTTAGTATGTATGTATATCAATAATTACTAGTACCGCATTCAAGTATTCTGACACTTCCCTATGGTTGACTGGGAGAGAATGCTTTTAGCATTAAGTCCGCCATGTACACATATTTGTACTAATGAATAAATAAATAAAAAAAAAAATACCATATATTCATATAAAAATAAGTTATCCATCGGTATGTTTATTGAAAAATGTATCTTTCGACAGCTCTATTTAACGGGACTCGAACCCTATTCCCTTCGTAGTACTATTACTTTATGTACTCTACTATAGTGTAACTGTACAATTATTAAACTATTTTTCTAAATTGTAAATCTAAATTTAACTAAATTCTTCTATACTCTCTTCTCTATTCTTCCCTTCGATATATTCTCTATGGGCCTCGATTAATAACCTTCCTATGGCTTTGATAAGTCTGACTTTAAACCTAGACACGTTTACGGTTTCTTCATATTCTATATTCCCAAGATCCCTGTCGATGTAATACTGAAATGTTGCCCAGAGCATTTCCTTTGCCTTCACGATATGGTCAGCTTGACTGAAAAACAAAAATAAAATTTACAACTCCACTACGTGTGTTATAGCATAGTGCAGATGTCAAGTTAATATATATATATATATATATATATATATATATATATATATATATATATATATATATATATATATATATATATATATATATATATATATATGTCAAGTTAATATAGAAAAAAAAAGCAGTAAATAATACTAGCTTTTACCTACGACTGTGATGACTTCGTCCACGTTATTAAGAATGAAATTAAACGTATTTTATTCGTAAAAACACAACTGTAGTTAATTTTAAACTTTCGCGTTTTTTTTTTTAAATACATAACTGGGGCTTAATGCGATGATAAAAGTTTTACAGGTATATAGTCTACATACCTGCTTCTTTATTGCTGACATTTCAACGTGGATTGCACCACGTCGTGGTCACGACAGAACTGTACTATATATCTCTAAAAGCTTTTTCAGCGTGTTAAGCCCTGTTATTTAAAAACATAACAGTATTTTCTTAAGTAAATAGTAACCTATATTCTTCATCATCCAACATAGTACGTGTGTATCAAATTTAGAAACAATTCGTTAAGCCATTCAGGTGCTAAGAAGCATCAAAACTATTTTTATATTTAGAATATTAGTAAGAAATATCCTTTAACAGACTTAATTAGACCGTTTTTGATTTTATATTAAAAAGCAACATAGATATAATTTTCTTAAATTAGGGGTTTTTTTTTTTAAATGGGAGATAACGGAATGATGACTCCACCTGTGCTATCGGTATACGCGGACGTGTCACCACTGAGAGATGATAGGTGGGGATAATAGCAAGTCAGTTAGCCACTCATGACGAATTCCATAAGATTTTACCAAGATGGTTTCTACGAGGAATCGCATGCAGGTTAACCTGATAATATTACATACATACATACATACAAAGTGAATGTGAGAAAGACTCTGTTTTCCGCGCTTAGCCTCTCATTTGGGCCGTTATGCATATGAGTCGTGGCTAGTGCAGCCAACCTAGCTCCGCCCAGAAGCGCAGAAGCTTCCTGGGTTCTTCACAGGCCTCACGGAGCGACCTCACCGTTCCGAGGATTATATACATACATATCTGTCACGCCTGTGTCCCATTAGGGTAGGCAGAAACAATGGAACGCCAAATGCTTCGATTCAAACAAACATCTTTCGCTTCTTCCACATTCATCAATATTTTCATACACGCTCGCCGGTTACGGGTACTTTTAATTTGGCCCTTCTTCAGCACGTCGCCTATTTGGTCAACACGTCCGTCTGGGGCGGCCCCTACCGACATCTCCATTCATTCTTGCTCGATAAATCGCTTTCGTAATTCTTCTTTCATCCATCCTCTCCAAATGATCAAACCAACGCAACATTCCTTTTTCGATTTTTGTCACTACATCGTCTAATTTTTGTCACTACATCGTCGTGATAATATTACCATGATGATATTACCATTACTAACAATTTCCCCCATGAATTATTATGCAACCGTATTCTGTAATTTGCCACATCTTACCATACAAATCAAAACAGTAGCAAACAGCTGCTTTAAGGCAGTGACAAAAATTGGACTGCAGAAGTCCATTTTTGTCACTGCCTTGAAGCAGTCCCAAGTGTAGTGGGGGGAAAATGGATTGTTAGTAATGCGGATTAGCGACTCCGTTGCTAGCAATTTAAGTACCCAGTCGACCTCCACGCGGTTCTGCTTGTTGGTTAATTTTTGATAATTTCCTCACGATAGGCTAACGATCGAATCAGCAATGAGGAGGTCCTGCTTAGGGTTAAGGAAAAAAGACAAATTATTAGAACTATTGAGGACAGAAGGGGAAAAATGTTGGGACACTTGATACGACACGATGAACTTATGAACATTATAATAGAAGGAAGGAGGGTAAGAGGGAGACCGAGACATCAGGCAGATCAAGGAAGGAGTTGGTGTCGTGTCGTATCAAGAGGTGAGGAGACTCGCTAAAAATCGTAGTGAGTGGCAAGAGCTCCACCGACAAGAGCGCAGCTCTTAAATAGGATAGATAGATAGGCTAGCAGATCAGCTTTCATCATCACCTATCATCACTGATGTCCCGTTTGAGTATACTGATAGCATAGGTGGGGCACCACATTCCATTATAATCCATCAGTCTCTCCCTGGTGAAGTTATCTCCCTGGTAAAGTTCTTTCTTAGCCATGTGGTCTCAGCATAGAATGGACCACTCCTTCCTTTCCCGTGGATATCTTAATGGTTGAGAGATGGACAGCAGCGTCCCTCAAAAACGTCACCAAGACCTAGTTGTGGTTACGAAATATAATAGTTACCTGGTAGGTACGTGGACTTGCAGCTGGTGTCTCGGTAAACTGACTACAGTCACGTCCTCTTTGTTGTTTACCTGAAAATAATAATATTTCTTTACCAGAGGGAGACTTTGTATAAAAGTCGTTTGTTTAGGTACCTCTGTCCAATTCGTGTTTCAACCGTGAAGCAGTTGTGTTTGCATGGCTGTGTTTCGGTTTGAAGGGTGGGATATGGCGTGAATTTACTGGGTACAGAGGAATAACACCTGAGTCCTCAGGAATGGCAACGCATGGGGGTATCATGGGCGAAACAGTATACTCTGTTATGTCCATGGTACTCCTCATGTCTATAGGCGACGGTTACCACTTACCATCAGGTGGGCCGTCAGCTTGTTTGCCATTCTATGTTGTATAAAAAAAAACAAATTCACGTAGGATACTAACCAATTCCTTTTTCAAATCTCCCTTGCAGAACAACAGCGCTGTATGCGGGGTCACCAACGATGTTTTGTGTACCACCAAAGCTCGCCTCTCTACAGAGTGGTAGCCACCGAAGTAAGCTAACAGCTGAGGTTTGTTTGTGCGTTTGGTTATTCCATAGTTAACGCTGTCACTACTGATGTGGGCGTGGTCGCCTTTGCTGTATGGAAAGAATTTAGAAAGGCGTTAATTAAATATATGTATGAGCGTTAATTAACTTTATATATGTGTATGTAGGGCATTTAAACTCAAAATTTTTTGCTACACCAGAAATATCGTTTGTGACTTATCACGGGCTATTAATATAGGATTAATTTTCATTATTATTTTTTGTCGTGTGTCAGCTTGTTTTCCATTTTAAAAACATGACTGTCTTGTCAAAAAACTAATTTAAAAAAAAAAGTTATTAATATAATAATTGTACACAGTTATATAGGAGTTCCAGAGATATTTCCTCCCACGAACACTCAGGTTGTGGAATGAGCACTCTGCCGAGGTTTTCCCAAGAGCCTACAGCATGGGGTTCTTCAAAAGGGGGGTAAAGAAGTTTCTTCAGGGTCGGCAACGCACGCGTAATACCTCTGGTATTGCAGGTGTTCATAGGCTACGGTAACCACTTACCATCAATTGGGCTGTATGCTTGTTTGCCACCTCAGTGGTATAAAAAAAAAGTTACGGTAGAGTAAACAAACTCACATACATATATGAATCCTGAAAACATTGCACTTGAAAATCATATAAAAAAAACATAATTATTTACCTGGTACATAAACTGACAGTAGTTTTCAGTTTTCCTTTAGTTCGTACATGTTTTTTCGTTGTCAACAGCGAATTCGTTCCTGATAATATTATGCCCACCAACATTTCGTCCACGTACGAGAAACGACTCAACTCGTTTGGGTCAGGATTTGGTCCTACGACACCGGATTTTAGTAGTTGCTCTAGATGCAGGTTTGATAGCGCTGTCAAAACATAACAATGCTTAATATCTACATATTTTTTTATTCAACTTAGAATGGCAAACATGCTGACGGCCCACCTGATGGAAAGCGGTAATCGTCGCCTATATACATGAGCAGTATCATGGACATAACATACTGTTTCGCCCATGATACCCCCCATGCGTTGTCATTCCTGAGGACGCAGGTGTTATTTCTCTGTACCCTGTAAATTTACTGCCATATCTCACCTTTTAAACCGAAACATAGCAGGGGTAAGGGATTGTTAGTAATGCAGACCACCAGTCCCATTGCTAGCAATATATCCTGTCAGGTCGACTTCCACGTGGTTCTCCCTGGAAACTATCGTGCTGAATTCCAGATGTATTCATCGCAATGTGCTAACTGACCTGCCATTTCATTTTCACCTATCATCCTTCATGCGAACACAACTGCTTCACGGTAGAAACACGAAGGAGATAGAGGTGAAGGAGATAGAAGGAGATAAACGACTTTTGTGCAGTCTCCCTCTGGTATACACATAACAATCACAATTTTCTATTAAATAATTACAATACGTCTCTCTTAAAATATCGTCAAAAGCCAAACTGCGGTTGTCAACTCGCCTGTCAAATGTGGTAAGTACTGGCAAAACCCCCCCTTATGGGAGAGGCTATGTTCAGCAGTGGACAGCTAATGACTGATACAACAACCTTCTATGGGATATTACTATAATACAATTAAACTAATATTATAAAGAGGAAATTAAATTTTCTTTATGTTTCTTTGTATTACTATGTATGTAAAAATGTACTATCTATGATTCATGCGAAGCCGGAGTGAGTGGTTAGTATTTAATACAATGCTGTAATTTTTGTTATAATTTTTACAAAATTTCGTTATCTTTTGAACCAACTTCTAAAAGGCGGTTTTCAATTCGGTTATATTTTTTTTATTTTGTTAGATAGATAGATGATTTATTTACATTAATTACAGCACACAAATTACAATACAAACATACACATAATACACAGTAAAAGAGATAAAAGAATTAAAAACAAAAAGCAAAATATATAAAACAACAATTTCCTTTTTCTTCTTTCATGTGTCTGCCATAGTAATACAAAATAGTCACAACTCAAGTTTATTTCTTTGCTCTCAAAAGAGCAAAACACTGATATTCTGTTGTGGCCAAATGGCCAAGGCCATATGTTGTTTATTACCTCATAATTTTGTCAGTTATAAATCGTTTAGGAAAATTCTTTTTTTATCTCAAAGTATATATACTTAGATTGTTCTTAAAGTAATTTTATCGAAATCGGTTCAGTAGTTTGATTTTTAAATCAAATTAATTGGCTTCGACATAATTGATTTTTTTTTGTAGGAGACAATCTTTATTCATTAATATTATTTTATCATTTCAGCCGTTAACTGTCCACTGCTGGACATAAACCTTCCCCATAAAAAGTTTTTCCAGTAGTTGCCACATTTAGCAGGCGGGTTGGCGACCGCAGTTAGGCTTTTAGAGATGTTTTAAGAGGGACGTTGCTGTCCATCCCTCGCCCTCGCTTCCTCGCCTCTTACGACATCTACGGGAAAGGTAAGGGCGACCTATTCTGTGCCGAGGCAGACAAGGTGAATTATTAAGTTTTATTGAAATATAATTCATATACATACATTGGACATATTTCAATCTGTCCTTCCTCAGGCCATACTTGTCGCACCACTCGTCCACTCCCCTCCATCCATTTTCCATCACTTTATATTCGAACTCGTCTTGAATATTGTGTAGCACTGCGTGGTCGGACGTTTGGTTGAACTTGGATTTAATTTCGCGGATTTCTGTTGAGTGAAAGATTTTTTTATACCACTGAGGTGGCAAACATGCGTACGTTCCACCCGATAGATTTTTTTTTTAATGGGTGATAATGAAATGGTAAACCCCGTCTGCGCTATCGGTATACACTGGCGGGACACCAATGAGAGATTACTTAGCCCATCGTGAGGAATTCAACAAGAATTATTCACGATGGTTTCCAGGGGGAACTACTTGCAATTCGATAATGTATAATGAAGAAACCTCTTTTTTGAGGGGGGAAGGGATTATTAGTAATGCGGAGTATCAGTCCCATTGTTAGCAATGGTCCTCCTTCTCAAGTTGATTTCTATGGGGTCCTTCCTGGAAACCACCGTGCTGAATTCCAGGTATATTCATCACGATGGGCTAAGTGACCTGCCTTTTCATCCTTCACTGGCGCCCGTCATCGTATACCGTTAGCGCAGGCGGGGTTACCATTCCATTGACATCTATTAAAAAAAAAAGCTGGTCAAAGATCCAATGGCGAAGGTAGACTAAGATATATAGGTAGATAGATAGATATATAAATTATTTGCATCACTTACAGCACACAAATAACGTTAAATATTGGTACAAATTAAAAAAAAAAAAAAAGAAAAAATAACAAAACATATACAAAAAAAGTACATAAAAGAGGTAACATATTTTTTCATGCGTGTGCCATAGTAACACAAAATGGTCACAACACAGTTTATTGCTTTGCCCTCAAAAGAGCAAAACACTGATATTCTGTTGTGGGCAATGTATTTCTGACCTTCCCTCCTGTCGGCGGCGTTCCTGAACAGCTCGACGTTTTCGGCGCAGTGCGTGAGAATGTTGGCGGCGGCCACCAGGCAGCCCGCCACCGCCGCGTGCAGCAGGCTGCAGCCCAGTCTTGGGTGCAGGCTCAGGCTCGACAGCAAACTGCCCAGCCGGGTCACGTGCTCGGACGGTGTGAGGGCACCTGTAGTATAGTTAGCAATAGTTAACTTTACAAAATCGCGGTTTTACATATATTTAAACTTAATTATCATCATATATACAGCCCGTGTGGTCCCGGCATAGAATAGGCCACCCCTTCCTTTCCCGTGGGTGTCGTAAGAGTCGACTAAGGGACAGCGAGGGATAGGCAGCAGCATCCCTCTTAAAACATCTCCAAAGTCTAACTGCGGTTGCCAATCCGACTGCCAGGCGTTGCAACTATTGGCAAAACTCCCCAAGGTCCCCCTTGGGGGGTTTGCACAGGCTTATGTTCAGCAGTGGACAGTTAAAGGCTGATATGATGATTACCATATAAATTTTTTAACCAACTTGAAAAAGAAGAAAGTTATGAAATTAATTTAATTTTTTTTATTTGAACCGACACCTATATTGTTAGTACTTGAATATATTATATCATACTAGTGATCCGGTCCGGTTTTGCACGGGTAGATAAGAGTTCTCGAAAATAACATATAGCTCATGTTACTGGCTGATAATGTAGCTTTCTATATTTTTTTTTGATGGGTGAAAATGGTATGGTAACCCCGCCTGCGCTAACGGGATACACTGGCGGAGCACCAGTGAAGGGCGATAGGTGAGAATGAAAACAGGCCAGTTAGCCCATCATGATGAATTCATCAGGAATTTACCATGATAGTTTCCAGGGGGAACTGCGAGGAGGTCGACCTGGTTGGGTATATTGCTAGCAATGGGATTCTCAGTCTCCATTACTAAAAATCCCTTTCCCCCCATCTTTCTATATATTGAAAGAATTTTTCAAAAAATCGATTATTTATTAACCAAATAGGCGACGTGCTGAAGAAGGGCCAAATTAAAAGTACCCGTAACCAGCGAGCGTGTATGAAAAGATTGATGAATGTGGAAGAAGCGAAAGAGGTTTGTTTGAATCGAAGCATTTGGCGTTCTATTGTTTCTGCCTACACTAATGGGAGACAGGCGTGACGATTAAGTAGTTTTTAGATTATCCATTATAAACAAATATTCAAATGATTTCTCTTTATGATATAGATTCCTTTCTTCTGTTCTCTGTCTTCCTTCTTCTTCTCCGTTCTCCCATTCACAGTTGCGTAACAAAATTTTTCAACTTACCTAAATCAACGAGATCCCTGACGGCATATTGAATCGCCTTCTTGCTCGGAGGTTCGGGCAGTTGCGAGAGGAAATCTTCGACCTTATCATCTGGGGCGTACGTCTTACAATCCAGCACCGTTTGTTCTAAAGGTATTCGTAGTATTTCGGGCATGGTGTGTAGAGCTAACTCGGCCTCTTTTTCTTTGGTATAAAGTCTGTAGCAGTAACCTGAGGCATAGACAATTGTAATTTTGAGTATTTTTTTTTTAATGCAACTTAGAATGGCAAACAAGCTAACAGCCCATCTGATGGAAAGTGATAACCGTCGCCTATAGACATAAACAGTACCATGGACATAACAGCGTATACTGTTTCGCCCATGATACCCCCCATGCGTTGCCATTCCTGAGGACTCAGGTGTTATTCCTCTGTAGCCTGTAATTTCACTGCCATATCCAACCCTTCAAACCGACACAGCCATACAAACACAACTGCTTCACGGTAGAAACGCGAATGGGGACGAATCTAGAAGCCTCTATATAAAAATTAAAATATCTCGCAAACTAATAAATATTAGAGTATTTTGTTATTTTCTTCTCTATGTATCACTAAAGACCAATATTCCCCTTCACTGCTCTGCTCCTATTGATCGTAGCGCGATGAAAAGTATACTATAACCTGGCCAGGAGTATGAAGAATAATTGTACCAAGTTTCGTTAAAATCCGTCAAGTAGTTTTTGTTTCTATAACGAACATACAGACAGACAGAAAAAAAATTACTGATTGCATTTTGGCATCAGTATCGATCACTAATCACCCCCTGATAGTTATTTTGGAAATATATTTCATGTACAGAATTGACCTGTCTACAGATTTATTATAAGTATAGTATTATAGAATTTTCAAAAAATATAGTACAAAAGGCGGTCTTATTGCTAAGCAATATCTTTCAGACAATCTTTGGGTACTTAGGGATGCTTCATGTAGTTATTTATGGACGCGAGCGAAGTCACGGAACTTAGCTAATTATGTATAAACTTACCAGACTGTACCCTCCCCGCGCGGCCGCTCCTTTGCTTGGCGCTAGCTCTCGACACCCACACTGTTTCTAAACTTTCTGTGCCTGCAATAAAAGTATTATAAGATGAGCATATACCAGAGGGAGACTGTACAAAAGTCGATTGCGTGGGTACCTCTGTCCCATTCGTGTTTCAACCGTGAAGCAGTTGAGTTTGCATGGCTGTGTTTCGGTTTGAAGGGTGGGATATGGCGTGAATGAATGTACAGGGTACAGAGGAATAACACCTGAGTCCTCGGGAAAGGCAACGCATGGGGGGTATCATGGACGAAACAGTATACTCTGTTATGTCCATGGTACTGCTCATGTCTATAGGCGACGGTTACCACTTTCCATCAGGTGGGCCGTCAGCTTGTTTGCCATTCTATGTTGATTTAAAAAAAAAAGAGCAAGCATACGGTCCACCTTATGGAAAGTGGTAACTATCACCTATGCAGTCATACAATGTACATATAAGGAAGATCGAGAACAAAGAAACGGGTACTAATGGCCCCATTGCTAGCAATATCATATCAGGTCTACCTCCAGGTTCACTTTGGGAACCATTATAGTTAAACCTTGAGAATTGGTTACGATGGATCGGCTGATCTCACCTATTATATATTATATTAAATTAAAATTAAATTATAATTAAAATAAATTATATTATATTAAAATTTGACGTTCATAAGCGGCTAAAATGTCCTACATGAATAAATGATTTTTGAATTTTGAATTTTGAATTTTATACTGGTGCTCCATATTTCTTGAAGTCGATTTATTAAAAAAAAAAAAATACAGCCTAATTTCATAAAAAGATAAATCAAAAACCAAAAAGTGAAAAATAACGTGCGTATAGTGTTTAAAAAATTATCCTCTAATTTCTCACCACTGAGGAGTTGTGTTTTTCATCATCAGCAAATATTTAACGAAACACAGCCATGCAAACAACTGCTTCACGGTTAAAACACGAATGGAACATATATAACAACTTTTCCTTTTTGAAGTCGGTTAAAAATAGGTTTGTATGACGTTTTATTTCATATGAATAAGGGGGTAACAAGAAAAAGAAGAAATATAAATCATACCCGTGCCTTCCCGAATCCTATTCTCCTTATGGGCCCCACTATCCACCACGTACACCACATCCGGTATGGTGATCGAAGTCTCCGCTATGTTGGTAGCTAGCACCACCTTGCGGATCCCTGGCGGCGGTTTCGCGAACATCTTTGTTTGATCTGTGGTTGATAATCTGCAATTACGTGTATGCATGTATATGCTTTCAAACCATATATATATATATATATATATATATATATATACAATAAATAACTGAAATGTCAAATCTTAAAATCATTAAACTAAATTTCTAATGTAGATAGTATATTAATTTATTTTTGTTAGATATGTGAGTAGTATTATTTATATTATTCCCGTTTTTATCTTATATATTTATCACTGTTTTATATATTATTTTTATATATTTATACATAACATCTCTTGCACACGTGTGTCCGTGAGTTACGTATTTAGGGCCTACTGAAAATCAGTGTCGTAGCTTCAGATTTGAAACTGCGACATATGCTGAGTTAGGTCCCTTGCACAAACACTGCTACATTCATTTTGTTTTTTTTTATATGTTTTTCTTTTTATTCTAAATTCAATGTAAAATAGTAATGTTATTATATAATTGTGAAATCTTCATTATTATGTTGTTTTTTTATATGTAACAAGTATAATTTATATATTTTTTTTTAAATCGCGATTGTATCTATTATTTAAATGAAAAGTGTGTTTAGTGTATGTGTAAATAAATAAATAATAACAAAAAAAAATATTATCAAAATCGGTTCAGTAATTTTAAATTAAAAAGTTTTTTTTTTATGAAACAAAATTTTAAATCATTATAACAACCTACCTGGAATGTACAGGCAGTATCATATGGGTACTAGACTGTCCGTAATACCCGTCTAGTATCTGTTTGGTCAGCTTTATCTCAGCCCAGCCGGGGAGAAACACTAGTATTGCTCCATCACCTTGTGTCTTGTCGACCGATCTTATTACTTCTGCCACCTGAAATAAGGTTTAGTTTAGCATACCAGACGTACATACAGAATACATATGTCTACATACTAGAACATGTAGATGTCTGACTATTTTAAAACGTGTGTAAAACTGATATTATAATACAGTATAACTCTCTATAGTTATAGTTTTTTTTTTATACAACTTAAAATGGCAACCAAGCTGACGGCCCACCTGATGGAAAGTGGTAACCGTCGCCTATAGACATGAGCAGTACCATGGACATAACAGAGTATACTGTTTCGCCTACGATACCCCCCATGCGTTGCCATTCCTGAGGACTCAGGTGTTATTCCTCCGTACCCAGTAAATTCACGCCATATCCCACCCTTCAAACTGAAACACAGCCATGCAAACACAACTGCTTTACGATTGAAACACGAATGGAACAGAGGTACCCAAGCAATTGACTTTTGTACAAAGTCTCCCTCTGGTCATAATATATTTTTTACACCCGTAGATTTTACCTCTTGGCAGTTAACCATCGGTTTTCCTTCTTCCTTCTTGCAGTTCTCGAAGCTGTTTTGCAGTTTCAAGCCAAATTTCTTCTGTATATCCTCTAAATGGAATACTTCTACGGGAAACGTTCGCCCTGGCACGTCCACTACTGGACACGAGTCGAAATATCTGCGGCGATAGACAATTTTACTAATATAATAGAATTGATTTTTGTTTTAAACCACGAAGGCAAACAAGCATATAGCCAGGGGGAAGGGATTGTTAGTAATGGGGAGGTTAGTATCCACTGCTGTCAATGTAGCAATGAAATATAATGTAGAATATATGTAAATTTCCCATATAGTTAATAATTTTGCACGCCTACATAGAGGCAGAATGTATACGGGAAATGTAAACCTCTTTTATCTAAAACTACCTGCATTCTGGCAAAATAAATTAATTTTATTTCAATATACCAAATCTGGTCGACCTCCACGTTGTCCTCCTTGGAAACCATCATGACTAATTTATCGTGGAATTCGACACGATTGGCTAACTGACCTGCTTTTACCTTTTTGCCTATCATCCCTCACTGGTGCCCCGCCAGTGTATACCGTTAGCACAGATGGTGTATACAGAGAGCGCAGGCGGGGTTACCATTTCATTATCATCCATTAAAAAAAAAAAAAACTAACTAACTCACCTAGTAAACACCTCAGTATCAAGAGTGGCACTCATGATGATGACCTTCAAATGCGGATTTATTTTCACGGCTCGCTTCAACAGCAGGAGAGTGAGGTCCGTATTGACATCTCTCTCGTGGGCCTCGTCTATGAACACGTGGGAACAGCCTTCCAAACCTGCATGGGAGACGAATTCATACCATTCTAATATCTCTTCATGTAATGTTTTATAACTGTAATGTTGATATGTAAATAAATATAAAAAAAGACTAGTGGAACTATAAAAGTAGTATTATTTTGAATATAAAGTAAAAAAAAATTTGAATATTTTGATAAAAAGGCAACAATGGATGGATAGTATATCGCTAAATAGCGATCTCTTCCAGCCAATCTTAGGATGGAGAAAATAATTAAAATTGGGTCTATTCAAAGCGTAAAAGAATAATAATATAATTTACCTGGATTAGCGTGCAGTCTCTTGAGGAGCACTCCAGACGTGCAGTACAAGATGGACCCACCAGGGGGTCTCGGTGGCTTCGTGTCGAGACGGACGTGGTAGCCGATAGATTCACCCACCTGCGAAGATGGAATCGAATCGTCAGAAAATACTCGTAAGTTGCACATAAACCTATCCAACATACATAGCACAAACGCATCAAGAACCCCCTCCTTTTTCGAAGTCGGTTAAAAGAACAATCATCAGAAATATCTTACATTTTCGCCAAGCTCGCTAGCCACCCTCTCGGCCAGACCTATGGCGGCCACCCTCCGCGGCTCCGACACTATTGCCGTAGTACCAGCCCCCCAGTGCTTCAACACAGCGGCCGGCGCCCTGGTAGACTTGCCGCACCCTGGCGCCCCCACTATCACGGTGACCTGAGACTTTTCTATTGCAGCCGTGATCTGATTTCTGCGAATTTTATAGATATTTGTTTACTATTAAACCACCCCTTTTGTAACATATTTTTAATAGACTTCTAGAAGGAGGTTGTCGATTCGATGTATTTTTTTTATGTTTGTTACCTTATAACTCCGGCAGTTCTAAACCAACTTGGAAAATTCTTTTTTTATCTGAAATTTTATCAAAATCGGTCCAGTAGTTTAGTTTTTAAATCAAAATAACCGGTTTTGTTACAATTTAAGTAGTTTTTACTTCAAACCGAAACGTAGCCATGCAAACACAGCTGCTTCACCTTTGAAACACGAATGGGACAGAGGTGCCCAAGCAAACGACTTTTTTACAAAGTCTCCCTTTGGTAATGAATTATAGGAAGATTAGAGACAAATTTGCAAGGAAATGAGATATGAATTGTACCCATAAGCCGGGGCGGGTCGCTAGTTACTTCAATATCAAACGACCTACATTACGCGTGACGTATCTCGCGAAAGTTAAGCAAGCGCCAACGAAAGGGAGAGTGAACGAGAAAGTACGTGGCTACGTCACGCGACGTCATTTGACGTCATTTTACGTCACTCGTGTAATAACAGGATTGACTTTTTTTTTGATGGGTGAAAATGGTATGGTAACCCCGCCTGCGCTAGATATAAGTTAGATATAAGTTAGATAGATATAAGATACAAGTTTCACCAACATTTAAATATTTTTTAACGGAAGCTTAGTGTTTATTTATTTATATTTTTGCATAAATTAAAACATGTCTATAGGGCGGACTTAATGTCTATATAATGTATATACAATATTTTTTTAAGTAAATAAACTTAACCCTTCTTTGCATAATGGTGGAAATTTCCATCATAACATTAATTGCCCAAAAAATATATAAAAGACCAAGTTCACTTTAAGTAGATCGTGTTTGGATACCTTTTTAATGTCCATTGCTAAAAAACAAAACATAGCTGTCAAGTTTATTACTTTAATCATTTTTCCTTTAATTTTGAACGTGAATTATATCACCTTGATTTATTTCACCAATAAAAAAACAAAAAAAGGGTTAATAGTAAATTGCAGCTGCGCGAAGCCGGGGCGGGTCGCTAGTTACTTCAATAACAAATGACCTACATTATGCGTGACGTAAAGTATTTCTCGCGAAAGTTAAGCGAGCGCCAACGAAAGGGAGAGCGAACGAGAAAGTACGTGGCTACGTCACGCGACGTCAAATGACGCATTTGACGTCACGCGCGCGTGACGCGTCACGTCACACGTCAGCTGGCACGAAAGCGAACCGTTTCACTTTCACTCTTTCGATTTCTATAGCGTTACGTTTCTGTCTACGTAACGCTGCGTCACAGTAACGTAACGCTTACTTTTTTTCCCCAGAATCTACTGAGATCCTGTTATTTTCTGGAGCCAATACGCGTCGCTACTGGGATACGACGCACAGCGGTGTATAAGCGTAGTGGTAACTAGGTACACCTGGGGGGAAAGGGGTTGTTAGTAATGGAGACTGAGAATCCCATTGCTAGCAATATACCCAACCAGGTCAGCAGTAGACCGATAACGGCTGATATGATGATAATGATGAATGATTCTAAATAATTTAAGATTTTGTTTTATAAGAACACTAAAATCCATAAATCATGACAAAATCAGTAAGGCACCAATACGGTAGTAAAATATGAAATACAAGTCAAAATTCACCAAAATATCTCACCATAATTATTAACCAATTCCTTAAAACTAGTATTAATATTCATTAGGATTTTTTCGAATTTCGAATTGACTTATTTGTCCTTTTTTGAATTCAGTTGTAAATTTGGAAATAAGCAATTCAATAATTAAAATTAATCAACATTCCATTTAGGAAATCGCAATAAAAAATGTAATAAGAAATAAAAAATAAGGTTGAGGTGGTATGAAATGTTTTTAGGTTTAAGTTCGTCTTGCAACTACATATCAGCCGTTAACTGCCCACTGTTGAAAATAGGCCTCCCTCAATAGAGGGGGTTTTGCTAGTAGTTGCCACGCGTGGCAGGCAGATTGGCAACTGCACTTAGGCTTTGGTGATATTTTAAAAGGGACGCTGCTGCCTATCCCTCGCTGTCCCTTCTGTCGCTGTCTTGCGACACCCACGGGAAAGAAAAGTCGATTCCTTTTGCCTAGCACGGGACGGGATTGTTACTATGGGATCTAACAGCTCCATTGCTAGCAATGTACCCTCTCTGGTCGACGTCCACGTCGTTCCCCCTGGAAACTATCGTGGATAATTCTAATTGAAATCGTCGAGATAAGCTAACTGACCTGCTTTCATTCTTATCAGTCATCTATCACTGGTGCCCCGCCAGTGTATACCGATAGCGCAGACGGGGTTACCATACTATTACCACCCATGAAAAAAAATACTCGACTATTAAGTTCCTTTAGTCGCCTTTTAAAATACCCACGGGAAAGAAAGGTATGGCCCATTCTATGCCGGGAGTACACGGTACTTTTCCGTAGTCGGGTAACAAACAAGTGCGATGACGTATCAGACGGGTGTCATAATGAAAACGAAACTGGCGTGGAACGAGCGAAACTGAACACATTCGATGGGCGAATTTCACCAAGCAGAAAGGAGGTCACAGTGTCAGTTCGAGCAGATATTGGGCACGCGGCGCCGCTCTCGAAGTCAAATTCGGCTACTTTCGACGGGCTCGACTTACCTCAGCGGGAAAAGTGAACGAAACCAACGTTCTCGTGTCGTAGATGAGACTAGCTAGCAACAGCTGTAGGGGAATTACATTTAACCGACTTCAAATAAAGAATACGTTCTAAAAAAAAATACTTTATTTGTGACAAAACCAACTATTTTGATTTAACCCTTCTTTGCATAATGGTGAAAATTTCCTTCATAACATTGAACGTCCAAAAATTATATTAAAGAATAAGTTCAGTTTAAGTTGATCGTGTCTGGATACCTTTTGAATGTCCATTGTAGAAAAAAAAACATAGCTATCAAATTTATTTTTTTAACCAATTTTCCCTTAATTCTGAACGTGAATTATATCACCTTGATTTATTTCACCAATAAAAAAAAATCATGCAAAGAAGGGTTAAAAAACTAAACTACTGACCAATTTAGATTTTTTCCCAAATTTCTATGGGACCAATTTGTAAGTACACCTTTGAGCTGAAAAAATTCAATTCGGTTTACAACTGACAGAGTTATGAGATGAAAAACAAAAAAAAAAAACACAACCGAATTGAGAACTTCCATCTTTTTAAAATCGGTTGAAAAAAGTTTCTAAATTCGGTTGTTTTTTTTTTTCAAATACAAATACAAATACAAATACAAAGACTTTACTGTGGATCATAGGTTAAATTAAGGTATTACATGAGTTAAATAGTATCTCCATGTCCTGCTATATAAGCGTACAATATTTTTTAGTGTGTTAACTTCATAAGTCCGTCATTATCACCAACCAGTTTTCTTTTTTTAAATATATCTAATAGAATCAATACCAGAATGAATATCATAATTATAAAAAATAATAATAAGAAAAAAAAATTTTTAGATTTTATGAAGATATCAGTTGAAATACACATAAAAATATGATCGAATTGACAATTTCCTTCTTTTAAAAGTCCTTTTAAAGTCGCTTGTTTATTTTCGATAATTCGTGTTTTAACTGTGAAGCAGTTTTGTTTGCATGGCTATGTTTCGGTTTGAAGGGTCCCACCCTTCAAACAGTTTGAAGGGTGGGATATGGCGTGAATTTACTGGGTACAGAGGAATAACACCTGAGTCCTCAGGAATGGCAACGCAAGGGGGGTATCATGGGCGAAACAGTATACTCTGTTCTGTCCATGGTGCTGCTCATGTATATAGGCGACGGTTACCACTTTCCATCAGGTGGCCGTCAGCTTGTTTGCCATTCAAAGTTGCATAAAAAAGAATTTGGTAAAATAAAGTACCTCAATGTCGTGTGATCCCGGCATAGTGGACCATCCCATCCTTTCTCGTTGCTATCGCAAGAAGCGACTAAGAGAACTTATCGGTCAAGGGCAGGCGAAAGGGATAGGCAGCAACGTCCCTCTTAAAAAGTCTCTAAAAGTTTAACTGCGGTTGCCAACTCGCCTGCCAAGCGTAGCAACTAGTGGCAAAACCTTTCTTATGGGCGAGGCCTATGTTCAGCAGTGGACAGTTAACATGGCTGATATGATGATGATGAAGTGCCTAGGTACGTTGCATATCATTTTAGACTAATGTAACAAATTTCATGTATTATATGAATATAATAATTGATCTATCATTAATTATATGTAATCTGATTTATATGACATATTTATAGTAAAAAATCATGGTTACCCATCAATTTAGCTCTTATTATTGAAGTAACAGGGCATAAAAACGAAATGAAAAATATACAATGGAACATACGGCCTCCTCCTTTTTTGAAGTCGGCTAAAAAGATTTTTGCGTTAATTGATCATGTATTATTGTCATTATTAGAGAATAACTTGAAATAATTTTAAAAATAAGACACCAACCGTAGATACGTTTTGTCTTATTTTTTTAAAAGACCAATTTTTAAAAAAAGAATCATAGTTGTTTTAGTACTAAATTAGTAAGCGATCTTCGCATGTCCTTTTTCAAAATTGAAAATTTCAAAATAAGACCGATAACGGTATAAGGAAAAGAAAAAAAAAAAAACATTATACAAAGTCGCCTTTATATTAAAAATTGACCGTTGTTATCCTACACGCTACCAATTTTAGCGAGATAAGGTCAAGGTCACGCGCCGCGCGGGAAGGTCATATTTTGAGGTCGCGCCCCTCGTAATGGGGACTCAAGGGCGAATTTTGTGGGTTACGCTCACAATCAGGACATTGAGGTCGCGGCACAGACAATGTAGAGCAAACGTTACAAGGTTTTTCGAATTTGGAACGTGTGTCGGTGTCGAGGTCGTTTGTCTATGCTGTGTTTTTTGCACTGGAGACATGTGTAGGTTAGAATTTATTCTACTTATTGGACCGAGTTTTTTTTTTAATGGATGGTAATGGAATGGTAACCCCGCCTGCGCTAACGGTATACGCTGGCGGGGCACCAGTGACAGATAATAGGTGAGGATGAAAAGGTAGGTCAGTTAGCCCATCGTGATGAATACACTTGGAATTCAGCACGATGGTTTCCAGGGGAGACTACGGGGAGGTCGACCTGTTAGGGTATATTATTAGCAATGGATCTGATAATCCGCATTACTAACAATCTCTTCTCCCCCCAAATATTGGACCGAATTACTACTATACTAGTTTTTATCCGCGACTTCGTCCGCGTGATCATATGTCTGACTATCTATCCGAGTGGTCTAACGGCTCAGCACAATGCTTTACTTTCCGATGGTAGCGCGTTCGATCTCGGCTTAATATAAATATTGATTTTAATGAGTACATTTGTGTGTTTTTATAAAAAAAGTTTTTAAGAATGTAGCACAGGCTTTGCTTAGTACTTATATATTATCTTTGGTTTTTTTTTTAATTGATGATAATGAAATGGTAACCCCACCCGCACTATCGGTATACACCAGTGGGGTACCAGTGAAGGATGATAGGTGAGGATGAAGCAGGTCAGTTAGCCCATCGTGACAAATTCCACAAGAATTGTTCACGATGGTTTCCAGGGGGAACCACGTGGAGGTCGACCTAATAAGGCATATTGCTAGCAATGGGGCTGTCAAACTCCGTTGCTAACAATCCCTTTCCCCCATTATCTTTGGTTTAGTACTAGATATCGCTTTTAATATGTATAGTGATTTTATTTACTTGTTTATACATAAAAGATATATGTAAATAAATAATATTACATATAATTAATTCAGTAATATATATATAAAAAATAATGGTTAATTAAGTTTATCAGAGGAAGACTTTGTATAAAGTCCTCTACTTGGGTATCTATTTTCCACTTGTGTTTCTGCCGTGAAGCAGCTCTGCTTGCATGGCTGTTTTTAGATTTGAAGATTGGGGCATGATAGTGAAATTACAGGGTATGGAGACAGAGGGAAACTTTGCACAAAAGTCGTTTGCTAAGGTAACTCTGTCCCATTCGTATTTCAACCGTAAAACAGTTATGTTTGCATGGCTGTGTTTCGGTTTGAAGGGTGGGATATAGCGATTTGCCCAATTTGATTGGGCCAATTAAAAATGGATTCGAAGCGATTTGAACCCTCTTGCTCCGGGCTATTTAAATGCAATGCTACGAGTAGATATCGGTGCCAAATTTATCAAAAAAAAAAGTAAATTAAAACAGTGCTGTAAATATTTATTAGGTATAATTTCGTTTGACATTACCAAAATATCAACTGGGTATTAAGAGCCGTCAAGTAAACTTTGTCTTGAAAAATTATAGAAATGTTCAAGTGGGGCATGGCACAAAAACAAGTGGGAAACACTGCTCTAAACTATTATTTGAATGAAAAGCGTGCATGGTGTTTTTTTTTGATGGGTGAAAATGGTATGGTAATCCCGCCTGCGCTAACGGAATACCCTGGCGGAGCACCAGTGAAGGGTGATAGATGAGAATGAAAACAGGCCAGTTAGCCCATCATGATGAATTCATCAGGAATTAACCATGAAAGTTTCCAGGGAGAACTGCGAGGAGGTCGACCTGGTGGGGTATATTGCTAGCAATGGGATTCTCAGTCTCCATTACTAACAATCCCTTTCCTCCCGCGTGCATGGTGTTACTCGATCATGCACAGGCTTTTTAATGACAATATAATTTTAGACATAGTAACCCTAATTTCATTAAAAAAAAATTACCATTTAAAAGTGCTTGTAAACTATCTAGTCTACTAACTAGTCTATTTAAATAAAGATGATTTGATTTCGAATCAAGGGAGTCACAGTGTATACTGTGACATCTCTTGTGCTATTCATATCTAGAGACGTCTATCCTGATGAATTCCCCAAGAATTAATGATGAACCACGATGGTTTCCAGGGGGAACCGCGTGGAGTTTTGCACTATACTGTACTGTCGGGTTCATTAATCGATTTTTTTTACAATTTCAAGAGCCAAGTCTGGCAACCGGCAAGTTCTGGCAAGGAATGGGCCCGTTGCTTATGACAGTCTATGGGCCTATGTCCAGCAGTGGACAGATAATGCTAATAATACTTACGCATATCCATCAATCGGAAGAGGAGTCAGCATTTCTTCGTACTCTTCGAACTTCTGTCGCAGGGTTCGTTCCCTTCGCGCTAATGTGGACTCTGAGGGTGGCGTGATACTCTTCCCGTATACTGGGTGAATTTGGACTTTCTCTGTTAGAAAATAAGAATTGTTTTTAAGTAATTTGTAACATTAAGAAACTGACGGGCCGACTAGTGTGTGGTAGTGGTGGCACAGAATAGGCCATCCCTTTCATTAACTAAAACTTAAAAATGATTAAATGTTTTAATCTATACTTATAATAAATCTGTGGAGAGGTCAATTCTGTACATGAAATATATTTCCAAAATAACTATCAGGGGGTGATTAGTGATCGATACTGGTGCCAAAAATGCAATCAGTAAAATTTTTGTCTATCTGTTTGTATGTTCGTTATAGAAACAAAAACTACTCGACGGATTTTAAGGGATTGTTAGTGATGTGGACTAACAATCCCATTGCTAGAGTTGAATTCTATTGTATTCACAAGATGGGCTAACTCACATGCTTTTTTCATCCTCATCAATCACGCCTGACTGGTGTCCCGCCAGCGTATACCGTCAGCGCAAACGGGGTTACCATTCCATTATCACCCATTAAAAAAAAATACAATAGTGTAACTATATTAATTATGTAATATATATTATATATTCTTAGCGAATTTAGGGCTTCCCTTCTCCCCCTGTAGCTGATGCCTATGTCTGTACAAACTAACCCGGTATATGATCTAAAACTTCACCATACCTGACATATCCGCCACTTCAATGCCACCTCTTGTTCTTAAGTCGTCTTCAGAGAAATCATCTGCAACAAAAAAATACTTATAAAACAACTATAGGTAAATTTTTTTTTTATACCACTGAGGTGGCAAACAAGCATACGGCCCACCTGATGGTAAGCGGTTACCGTAGCCTATGAACGTCTGCAATACCAGAGGTATTATGCGCGCGTTGCCGAGCCTGAAGAAACCTCTTTACTCCCCTTTTGAAGAACCCCATGCTGTAGTCTCTTGGGAAAACATCGGCAGGGAGCTCATTCCATAAACAGAGAAAACATCTCTGAAACCGCGTTGTACGCGATCATTTAGACTATAAGGTATGAGGGTGAACTCCCTGTCGATGGCGAGCCGTACGATGATAGAAAGTGGCCGCAGGCATCATATTGAATAATTCCTCTGAGCACAATCCGTTTGCCATGTGATCCCGGTATAGAATGGCCCACCCCTTCCTTTCCAGTGGGTGTCGTAAGAGGCGACTAAGGTACCTTCATGGTCGAAGGATGGGCAAGAACTTCCCTCTTAAAACACCATCATAGCCTAACTACAGTTGCCACTGTCTGCTAAGCATGGTTATTACTAGCAAAATCCCCCTCAGAATGTAAAATGCCATAAGGAATGGTCCAACAGGACCATTATAGACTGCTATAAGGAACGCCTTGTGGTAGTCTATGGGGGAGTTCATTTACTATCTACTGCTGAACATAGGCCTCCCACATAGACTGCCATAAGGAATGGACCTGAGCCATCTGCATTGCAACTCCAAATATTACTAATTTAGTACAATTAAATAGGTTATAATTTACGGTAAACAGGAAACGGTTTTTCATTATTTATATCTACATGAAAATAATATTATTAGCGCCCTCTGCAAAATAGACCAGGTAACCACTCCAAATAAAAGTACAATAAGTATGCTTTGAGTTTGCTTTTTATATTTCCATCCCAATTATTCTGTACCATAATTCCCACTGCTTCACTAGATGGCGTTATAACAATTTTTTAAACAAATTAAGATATGACTTCATTATAGATTTGCCTTGTTTTAATACTCAAAGCTATGCCATGTCATTTACTGTACATGCTGCACGTCTCTGGAATTCACTTCCTAATAACTTAAAGATGGCACAATCGCTGAAATCTTTTAAAGCAGGTATCATAAAATTTTATTTTGAAAATCCCTCTTCATTGAGCCAATTGTGGATATATGTATTTATTATGTATACATGTATGTGTATGTAGGAGTGTATATATATATATATATATATATATATATATATATATATATATATATATATGTGTATGTGTATAAGTTTTTATTTATTAATGTTATATTATTATTAATTTACTTTTATTATTTACATATGTAGGTATATAGAGCTGTTTTTATTGTGTTATATATTCAATTTTTTTTTACTGGGTATTATTTAGTTTATCTTTAATTGTACGGTTATTACCCTTATACATTCTACAGTTTTCTTTCAGCTTCTCAAAGGTTGACTGTAAGAGATCCCTTTATGGGATAAGTCCGCCATTGTATACTAAATCATTTACTAGTATTTAATCTGAGTTATGTACAATAAAGATTTTTACAATACAATACAAGATATTTTAAATTTATGTATTAAATACCCCAATCATTTATGACAAAAGTGCCACGATCTGTACTTGTTACAACTACAGAAATAAGTACCACCTGTACATGTGACAATGTGTGTGTGTGTGTATGTGTAGTACGATTAGCGCGGAAAAATAAATTTGAATGCTGACGAATCTTTGAGAGGGGATGAGTTTAGATCGTAGTGGGTGCAAGGGAAGTGTCCATACTGTATTTTAGTACTATTATTTATACTGTGGTATTAAGACAGAACTATTAGGTGTTGCACATAATTTAATATTTACTAAAAAAAATTTGAACCCTTTAAGTTTTAAATATAAAGACAGATACATGGACTGCGATAGTTTATTATTATTATTATATCAGCCACTAACTGCCTACTCGTGAACCTTCCCATAAGGGGGTGGGGGGGTTGTCAGTAGTTGCCACGCTTGGTAAGTGAATTGGCAACTGCAGTTAGGCTTTGTGAACGCTGCTGCCTACCCCACTAAGTGTGGTCACTGCGATAGTATAAAAACTTACTGCTAATAAAGTTGTAAATAATCAGTAAACTTAAAAAATATTATAGATATAAAAACGAATATTTCAAACATACCTTCATCAATTGTTGAGTCTCTAGTTAAAACGGCAGGCGTTACTACCGAATGCTTCGCATTTTTAAACGTTGCTTCATATACGTCCTCTGTGAGATAGTAGGAAAAACAATAAGTTTAGATGTTAAGAGAGTTCATACCGAAACTGAAAGTGCCAGTGTCCAGTTATCTGTTAATTTTCAATAACTATTGAAATATTTACAATATTTGTGATTGAATAATCAAAAAATACTCTGAGGGCCTACCATGAAATATTTTTCGAAATTTCGGGGACGAACGAAACAGAAATTTGATGTTAAAATTACATAATACATGCCTTTTAAAATTATTAAAAATGTTTAAATATCGTTCCTCTGGACTATTAGGATAGGATTTATGATAAACGGAATGTTAAGCTCCATTAACTGGGTCGATTTCGGTACGAACAAAAACACGAAATTGAGCCCGAAATTTCGGAATTTCATTTCATGGTAGACCACGTCATAGCAAAGTAAGTAAATAGTAAATATACATATTTATTTCTATCACAAATTAACAACATAGGGTGCAAAAACATTAATTATTGAATCAGCTATACATGTTACCGTTCTCTCTTTTTATTCGAATTGAATTGTAAATTCAAGAAAAAAAAAATAAAATTAGGGTACAGAGGTATAATACCTCAGGAATGGGAGGAAAGGGATTGTTAGTAATGGAGACTGAGAATCCCATTGCTAGCAATATACCCAACCAGGTTGATCTCCTCGCGGTTCTCCCTGGAAACTATCATGGTTAATTCCTGATGAATTCATCATGATGGGCTAACTAACCTGTTTTCATCCTCATCTATCACCCTTCACTGGTGCTCCGCCAGCGTATCCCGTTAGTGCAGGCGGGGTTAGCATACCATTTTCACCAATCAAAAAAAATCTCAGGAATGGCAACACATGGGAGGTATCATGGGCGGCAATGGAAACAGTATACCCTGTTATGTGCATGGTACTGCTCATGTCTATGTGCAACAGTTACCACTTTCCATCAGATGTGCCATCAGGTTTTAGTTTTGACATTGAAATTACAGGGTAACGAGGTATAATACTATAGTCTTCAGAAATGGCAACACATAAAGCACAGTAGATTCTATGATGTGCATGGAACTGTTTATGTCTATAGGCGACAATCACCAGTTTCCATCAACTGGGCCATCAGTTGGTTAAAAAAAACTTACTTATACTCTCTTCATAATCCTTCCATATTCTTTCAATCCGTTCCACGGAGCTGTCACTTATCGATACCTCTATCGACTCGTTAAGTTTGGTCCGTAACTCGTTCAGAACAACTTCATCATATATGGGCGAGCCCTTACTATCTATCCTTTTGTTATAATATAACCAGTGTAGAGCTTGTATGGCAGCCTTTTCCGCTGCCTGACGTTTTGATATTGCTGTACTGGAACAAGTGATTGTATATAAGCTTACGACTGTAATTCCAGTCCAGATGGTTTAAAAAAGAGTACAGTCAACCCCGCAAATAGGCGTAATTACAATAGGGGGGGAGAGCGAGGGAACAGTGGGCTATGCCCATCCCAGAATTGTCTGGTGATAAGTACTTTTTATTCCAGTTAATAAACATATCCCAGACATGTGAAGAAAGTCGCAGATAGTAGTTAGTATTTTTACCAGAGAGAGACTTTGTACAAAAGTCGATAGCTTGGGTACCTCTGTCCCATTCGTGTTTCTACCGTGAAGCAGTTGTGTTTCGGTTTGAAGGGTGGGATATGGCGTGAATTTACAGGGTACAGAGGAATAACACCTGAGTCCTCAGGAATGGCAACGCATGGGGGGTATCATGGGCGAAACAGTATGTGTGTGTATTGTTATGTCCATAGTACTGCTCATGTCTATATGCGACGGTTACCACTTTCCATCAGGTGGGCCGTCAGCTTGTTTGCCACTCTTAGTCGTATAAAAAAAAAATAGTAAAAAATATATATTGACTTACATACCATTCAAACTTCATTTTCTCCGGCCAAATGAAAGAGTATGTACATATCCAATCATTGTTCACGGCAGCCTTCCTCCGACCCTTGGGCGCCGAGGATATCTGTCTGTAATGTACTTCAAAGATCTTCTGTGGAGTCTTTGTGGTCAGCTCGTTAAGTGTCACACGCGGTTGTGGGAACAGCTCTACTATTTTCTTTAACTCTGTAAAAATATTTATTGCATTAATCACTCATTTTAATCTGCTGCTTCGTATTGTTAAAACTTTAGCATATAAGCATATTATTGCCCAATTGCAATATTGTTTATTACCATTCAAACCATTTGAAATTCAAAGTATTACGACTATATACTGGTGGTCTAACATGAAACGAAAATCCGAATTTTCGGGCTCAATTTCGTGTTTTTGTTCGTACCAAAATCGACCCAGTAAATGAAGCTTAACATTTCGTTCATTATAAATTCTATCCTGATAGCCCAGAAGAATGATATTTTTACATTTATTTATAATTTTAAACGGCATGTATTATACAATTTTAACATCAAATTTCTGTTTCGTTCGTGCCCGAAATTTCGGAAAATAGTTCATGGTAGGCCCTCTGTTAGAAATCCTAAATCAGCCAGTCGTAATTCAGCTCGACAAATTACTGCCCAGCTACAGACTTCTGGGATAACCATGAAATGAAATTCCAAAGTTTCGGGATCAATTTCGTGTTTTTGTTCATACCGAAATTGATATATAATATTTATTTTTTTATGCAACTTAGAATGGCAACTAAGCTGACGGAAAGTCAGTAAAACCTGATGGAAAGTGGTAACAGTCTCCTATAGACAAGAGCAGTACCATGGACATAACAGAATATACTGTTTCGCCCATGATACCCCCTATGCGTTGCCACGGTGTTATTCCTCTGTACCCTGTAAATTTATTACCATATCCTACCCTTCAAACCGAAACACAGCCATGCCGAAGACAACTGCTTCACAGTAGAAACACGAATGGAACAGAGGTGTCCAAGCAAACAACTTTTGTACAAAGTCTACCTCTGGTAACATGGAATTAGCATTTCGTTCATCATAAATCGTACATTATACGTAAATCTAAGAATCTCATCATATCACCCATTAACTATCCACAGTAGAACATAAGCTTCTCCCATTAGGGGGGGTTTGCCAGTAGTTGCCACGCTTAGCAAGTTAGCAACCGCAATTAGGTTTTGGTGATGTTTTAAGAAGTACACTGCTGCCCATCCCTCATCCATTAAGTTCATCATGATGATGATAAAAACAAAGAACCTACCTATGCTATAGATCATTTTAGTACAGATATTTTCTGAATCAATAATTCATAAACAAGGAGTTTTGGCTGTCCCTTACTAAATATCTAGACTGGGGAGAAGAGATTGTTAGTAATAGGGAGGTTAGTCCCCACTGCTACAAATATACCCTATCAGGTCCACCTCCATGAAAGTAATTGTTAATAATTCTTGTTGAATTTGCCACCATGGGCTGACTGACTTGCCTTTTCATCCTCTATCTTATCACCTCTCACTGGTACTCCGCCAGTGTATACCGATAGCGCTGGCAGGGTTACCATGCCAGTTTCACCCATTAAAACAAAAATATACCTGGACTAAGTAACTGGAGTAAAAACATATTATCAATAAAGTATTTACAATATTCTTACCTCTTTCACACTGAGATTTCTGTAGCTCTGTTACATCTCCACTTAATATATTTGAGTAGTATCTATGTTTTGTACATAAACAATTTAGGTGTGAACAAATGCGTTCATTACTTTTAAAATGTTGTAAATCACTTGTATTGTAAATTCTGGAAGTTAAACCTGTAATAAAAGTATTCACTACACTTATACTTTTTTTTAACAAAATGCACAATAGAACACATTATTACATTATAAAATATATTCATTCATTTTATTTATATTTATTTATTGCTATTACATGTTGTAACAATATTGGTCTTAATTTACTAAAAGTATAGAATCAACATGAACCCTGAAAGGGCACAGCGATCACATTAATAAATATTATATAAACTACATAACAAAATTTTTACATTATATATATGTATCGTCGATTAGCATAAAAAATAAAAAAAAATCATCATTAAATTAAAACAAACAGGCACAAACACAACTAACTTTTTTCATTGAAAAATTCCTGTAGCGCATAATAACTCTTTGGGATTAAATATTTTTTTAGAGCTATTTTAAACTTTTTAGAATGTTATGTAATAAAAATATATTTTTTTTATCACATGAAGCATTTAACTGATTTTCTGTTAATTTATCTCAATTATTACCATCATTTGTTAAAAGGTTTATTTATAAATAATTTTTTTTTACACAATTTAGAATGGCAAACAAGCTGACGGCTCATCTGATGGAAAGTGTTAACCATCTCCTATAGACATAGGCAGTACCATGGACATTACGGAGTATATTGTTTCGCTCATGATATTCCCCATGCATTGCCATTCCTGAGGACTCAGGTGTTATTCCTCTGTACCCTGTAAATTCACACCATATCCCACCCTTCAAAGAGAAACATAGCCATGCAAACATAACTGCTTCACAGTTGAAACACAAATGGGATAGAGGTACCCACGCAAACAACTTTTGTAAAAAGTCTCCCTCTGGTAATTGTGACCCTATTTTCACACACTGGTGCCCCACAAGTGTATACCATAGTGGGGTTACCATTTCATTATCATCCATTAAAAAAAAATTGAAGTTACAATATCCATATATGGGTCCAATAATAAGTATGTTAAGTCTGTTATCCAAAAAATAATATTGGATAACCGACTTTAAACATATTCGGAGACAGATATTAGACCAATAATAATAATTCTTTATTTGGAACAAAAATATTGGTTACAATATTATTGAAAAACGATGATATCCGTAGAAGTATAAAACTGTATATTCGACCAATATAGGCGCCATCATTATCCAAAGGAACTCAATACATAGATATCGAATCGGTATCCACATTACCATGCCTAATACATTGATAGATATTGATAGACCGGAATAAATTATAACCGCGGGTGAGATTGTAAGTAAAAACTAATAAAAGACTTTGATACAGTGGATTAAGCAAGCGATATATATAAAAATAAAGGCCTTTGTATTTATTTCTTTCTGTAAGAGCGATGTTCAGTTACGAAAAATAGGTTATGTTTCTTGACATAAAATAACAAAAGTATATTACTTACCGATATAATTATGTGTTCTGACCAATGTTTTATTACACAACACATTAGGTAATAAATGTTTCTTCCAAAATTGCGATTTACACACCAAAAAGGTCTTACGGAACATTATTTCTAGAATTTTTGGTTAAGTATAAAATTCAAATACGATAATGTATAAGTGACGACTAGAATAATGACTATTATTAGATTATCTGTGTCTAGACATATAGAAAGGAAATATATATTAAATTTTGATTTAAATTTACGGGATTACCCCGCCAGAGAGGTTATAAATTTATAGAAATCAAAACATTGCAATTTGAATGAAATTGAAATGTGAACGAATTGTCATTCAACTGTCATACTGTCAATCAATTACTGACATTTGTGTTGTCAAACAAACTAATGGCGATAATGGAATGGTAACCCCGCCTGTGTTTTCGATATACGCTGGCGGGGTATTAGTGACGGATGATGCCTGTAATGAAAGTGTGTCAGTTAGGTTGACGATGGTTTCCAGGAGGAACCGCGTGGAGGTCGACCTGACTGACTTGCTAGCAATAGAGCCATTAATCCCCATTACAAACAATCCCTTTCGCTCTTGTCAAACCAACCAACTGTGATTACTGCAGTGTCATTGTTATATAGATTATAAATATGAATTATTACCAAACTAAGGTATCAAAGTATCGTAGGAGCTTACTAGATTTGTATTATGAATTTTCTCTTTATGTGCATTACTTCAGTTTTTAACATATCTCACTTTATGCATTAATTTATCCATATAGATAAGTTTCTTTAATACAGTGCCATATAGTAATAATAAATACAATTTTAATATAAAATAACATATAATCTGGAGGGCAGGGATTGTTAGTAATGCGGACTAGCAGTCCCATTATTAATAATATACCCTGTCAGGTCGACCTCCACGTAGTCCTCCCTGGAAACCATCGTGCTGAATTCCAGATATGTTCATCACGATAGGTTAACTGACTTGCCTTTTCATACTCCCCTATCGTCCCTCACTGGTGCCTCGCCAGCGTTAGCGCAGGTGTAGCTACAATTTCATTACCATCTCTTAAAAAAAAATTAACGGTAATATTGGAACACCAAACTAAAAAGATCGAATAGGAACATCACTAATTTTTATTGTTATCGAGCAAAACCAATTAACCGTGTGGTCCCGGAATAGAATAGGCCACCCCTTATTTTTTCGCGGGTGTCGTAAGAAGCGACTAAAGGAGGACGAGGGACGGGCAACAGCGTCCCTCTTAAAACATTTCTAAAGCCTGATTGCAGTTGTTAATCCGCCTGCCAAGCATGGCAACTACTGATAAAATCCTCCAAGGGGGAGGCTTATGTACAGCAGTGGACAGTTAAAGGCCGATATGATGATGACACCAAACTAAAAAAGTAGTAGTAGTTTAATTTATCCCACTCAAGGAAAGGCAAAGGTACTGAGCCATACAGCCTACAAACTAAAAAAGACTTGATTTTTTTTTTAATGGATGATAATGGAATGCAACCCCGCCCGCGCTATCGGTATACACCGGCGGGGCACCAGTGAAGGATGATAGGTGAGGATGAAGTAGGTCAGTTAGCCCATCGTGACGAATTCAACAAGAATTGTTCACGATGGTTTCCAGGGGGAACCATATGGAGGTCGACCTAATAAGGCATATTGCTAGCAATGGGGCTATCAAACTCCATTGCTAACTAAACTCCATTCCTTTCCCCCCAAAAGACTTGAATAGGTACGTCACTAATTTTGTTTTTTTTTTTCATTGTAACCGAGCAAAACCAAGCGGATTACGGCCAGTGACGAGATAATTAAAACAACCTTCGTTTATTATAATAATATCTGGCCAATGTCATTGTCGTTCTAAATGCTCGTGCTGATGTAATAACCGGTTTGTATGCTATTGTTAAGTTTTTATAAATAATAACTTATTACTAGGCACTCTTTACAAGTATAGTTAGTAAATATTGAACATAAAATTATAAATAATACGAATATCGATGATGTTAGTGATGTAGTTTTTTTTTTATTGTTATAGAGGCAAAGAGCAGACGGCCCACTTGATAGAAAGTGGCTACCGTCACCCATGGGAGGGAAAGGGATTGTTAGCAATAATTCTTGTTGAATTCGTCACGATGGGCTAACTGACCTGCTTCATCCTCACATATCATCTCTCAATGGTGCCCGGCCAGTGTATACCGAAAGCGCAGGCGGGATTACCATTTCATTATCACTCATTAAAAAAGAAACCATCGCCCATGAACACGAGAGGAGTTGCTTGTGCGTTGCGTTGGAGTATCATGGGCGAAACAGTATACTCTGTTATGTCCATGGTACTGCTCATGTGTATAGGCGACGGTTACCACTTTCCATCAGGTGGGCCGTCAGCTTATTTTCCATTCTAAGTTGTATAAAAAAAGCCTTCAACTCTATGACGAGAGGTACAATGGTAAAAGGATGACGATGGAATCAGGGCATATATTTCTTGGAACATTCCCTATTGTACAGACTTGACATTGACAGATTCTATTGGTAACAAAGCGACTTACCTATTGTTCGCGGATTCGATTTCCATACAATACAAATATTTTTGTTCATGAGTATATTTGTTTGTATCGGTCATTGATATATATGTATTATTATTTCAGCCGTTAACTGTCCACTGCTGGACATAAGTCTTCCCAATAAAGGGAGTTTTGCTAGTAGTTGCCAAGCTTGATAGACAGGTTGGCAACCGCAGTTAGGTTTTTAGAGATATTTGGATTTAACAGCCCCATTGCTAGTAATGTCGATCAGGTTGATCTCCATACGGTTCCCCTTGAAAGCTGTTGTGGTTATTTCTTGGAGAAATCCTCACGATGGGCTAACTGCTCTGCTTTCATCCTCACCTATCGCCTTTCATTGGTGCCCCGCCAGCGTATACCGATAGTGCAGCAGGGTTATCATTCCATTGTCACCCATAAAAAAAAACCCTCTTATTCATAAAAACGTCAAACTTCTCATAAACCTATTTTAGCTATTGAACTTTTGTCTCTTTCTTTTGTACTAAATTCTCAATTTGAAAGAAAGTGACAAAATACTGTAATATTTAAAGTAGGTTTGTAGGACGTTTTAGTTTTTATGAATAAGGCGGAAAAAGAACAAGGAGCTTAGTTTATACAGTTATATTAAGGTGACCAACTATTTTTTGTTCAAAAAGAGTATACATTGCAAGTATTTCATAGGTGAAAAAAAAGAAGAAAAAGCGATCAAAACTTTATTTTCTTTTAAATGAGGATGTTCGTCTAATAATGTAGCCACATCCGAACAACTTTCATTTTGCATATTAAATTTATCTGTTAAGACGGCAGATAATGTTTTTACAGAGTTGCGACTTCTCACTGCTCCAATAATCATTCCCTAGTAAAAATATCCTTTCAACAGCAGCATTATTGCCTAGTGGACAACATAAGGAAATTTCTATTAAAACTTTTAAATTTTAAAGTGGGATATGTTCTACTGAAATTCTAATGAAATTCAAATCACTGTTAAAATAATTTTAAATATTTAATTAATAAAATTGAAGTAAAATAATCTAAAAAAATGTTTTAGAATTACAAATGAGTACTTTCAGAATACAGGATGAGCATTTTCTTCCACGCACAACCATTCTTTGGAATCAACTTCCAACAGCAGTATTTCCGAATCGATACGACAACATAACCTTCAAGAAAAGAGTATATTCCTTTATAAAAGGCCGGCAGCACATCTGCAATGCCACTGGTGTTGTGGGTGAATATGGGCGGCGGTAGTCAGTTACCATCAGGTGAGCTGCATGCTCATTTGCTCCCTGTATTGTAAAAAAAAGAAAAGAGTACGGTTTGCAAAAAAAGAGTACAAAACTCAGTAAATGAGTATAGTTGGTCACTTTAGTTATATGTATGTTAAGTTTAGTATGTTAACCTTGTTGTACTCTTACAATTGGGGCACGTTTTGTTTTATAACACATGGGGCAAACGAGCATGCGGCTCATCTGTTGGTAAGTGACTACGGCCGCCCATGATCACCCGCAACACCAACGGCATTGCAGGTGTGCTGCCGGCCTTTTAAAAAGGAATATACTCTTTTCTTGAAGGTTATGATGTTTAGTTTATAATTAGTCAACTGTTATTTACAAATGTCAATTTATTGGTAGTATATCAATCGGCCTTTATAAAAAAAAATAAACAATTTAATTCTGACATTTTGAGAGATTAGGATATTAGGGCCTCGCCTCAGATTAACATTAGAATCTAGAAATTAATATGTCATATTGTCATTACGAATAAATGTAAGATAAAAAAAGAGATTAAAAAAAATTAAATTATATATTCATAATCTCAGAATTTAATTGTAATATGATTAATATAGAACTAATATGGAATTAAAATAAATAACACATTATCTGTTTTTTTTTTTAATGGATGATAATAGAATGGTAACCCTGCCTGTGCTATCGGTATACACTGGCGGGGCACCAGTGAGGTATGATAGGTAAGGATGAAGAGACAGGTCAGTTAGGCCACTGTTAAAAATTCAACGATAAATATATATAGTCATGATAGTTTCTTGGGGGAATCGCGTGGAGGTCGACTTGATAGCGTATATTGATAGCAATGGGGACTAACCTACCCATTACTAACAATCCCTTCCCTCCCATACTAATTAACTAATCACTAATTAGTTGCGATGGATTGCTAGCAACATTCCATCAGTAACCTGTCAGGTACTTATTGTATTTCAAGACTGAAAATTAGTTTACATTTGATAGTCTTGTTTTAATGTAAAATCTTCCTTTTTATTATTCGAAAACTTCAAATTTATTTAAGTGACGGCGTAGGTTACTTCCGGCTGCGTTGATTTAAATGTCCAACTATTGTATACCCTAGTGAATTCATCACCATGACTGTTTAGTATTGTTTTAGTATTAATTAATCAGTTCCTATCAAAATGGGATATTTGCATACTATACTGTAATAGCTAAATAGGAACGAGACTTTATGAAATATAAGATCACCGATACCTACCTTATTTAATGCAAAAAAAAAATTAATTTATATTTAATATTTTATTTTTATGTTTAGTAAATAAAAATCCATTCATTCCTTCACTGACCTGATTTCATTCATTTTCATCATCAGTCACTGGTACCCCGCCATTATATATCTACCGATAGCGCTGTCGAGTAGGTCACCATTCCATTTTCACCCCAATATATATATACTTTTTACTGTTAGGAAAACGAACGAGCAGACGGTCCACAAGATGGAAAGCGGTCTCTTTTTATGTCTCTTGTTATTATTAATTATCTCTGATTACCTCATTAGAGATTACAATCGTAACCATATTTATCTGTATTATACTAGTTATGTCAGCTACTTCGTCCACATGACAGGGACATTTAGGTGGACTGGTTTAATTGGTTTGTTAATGGTCTTTTCCATTATCGGTGAAGTAGACGGAAAATATTAACACAAAAGTTTTTAGTGTCAACCACAATGTATTTCATGGTATTTGGAGTCACCTACACTATCTACACTAATCTTATAAAGTGGACAGATATGTATTTTTGCGTGTATGTTTGCAATGAATAAACTCAAAATCTACTTTGCCGATTTCAAAAATTCTTTCACCATTAGAAAGCTATATTCAGAGATATAACAACAGCCCTGAGTAACATAGGCTATATTTATTGCTAGAAAAGATTAGGGATCCTTACTAAAACTTTAGTAATGTAACTCAAGGTGTAAAATAAATGTTAAAAAATATCTTTCGTCGCGTGCGCTGTGGACAGTATCGGTGATAGAACAAAAAAATGTTCTACAATATTGAAGAAAATATCAATTACTACAAAAAACTTCGCGATATTATATGGCCAACTATTATCGTTATGTCACAATAACCACTTTTTAAAATGTCGTAAAAATGTCCATGGGTCGCTAGTATAATATAATATGATAAGATTACAAAGGATTTTTGTTGTAAATTATTATTATTATTATTATTATTTTTAAATTTTACCAAAATTCTCATCTCCCCTCTTAAGGAGAGGAGATGGCAACTAACCCCCGGCAGAAGCACAGTCGGCCGGGGTTCAGGGCCCCAGGGAGAGAAACCGGCGTACAATGCGGGCAGAATCTAAGAGCACCGCTTTCTGCATCTTTCCCGGGAGTGAGCCGCCTCGGAATCCCAACCGTCTGAGATGTTGTTCCAGACTGGTTGGGATAAGACCGTTCACCGACATAACGATTGGGATGATTTCGGTAGATGTCACCCCCACATTTCGGTCACCTCGTGAGCCAGGTCGAGATATTTTCTCTTCTTCTCGGTTTCGGCTTTCACGAGGTTCTCGTCATGCGGTATGGTGACATCCACCAAAAACACCCTCGAAAGTGCCCGGTCCATCACCACGATATCAGGTTTGTTCGCAAGAACAGTCCTGTCCGTGATGATGGATCGGTCCCAGTAGAGCCTGACGCTGTCGCTTTCGAGGACCGGCTGTGGCTCGTACTTATAGTACGGCAACCTCTCATTCGCGAGGCCGTACTTCAGAGCTAGCTCTTGATGGAGTATTTTGGCTACCTGGTTGTGCCTGTGCAAGTACTCTGTGTTGGCAAGAGCTGAACAACCCGAAAGCACATGTCTGAGTGACTCTCCGGGATGGCGACATGCTCGACAGATGTCCTCAGTGCCATCCTTCAGAATGTGCTTTCGGTAATTGTTCGTCTTAACCACCTGATCCTGTATTGCACAGACAGAACCCTCGGTCTCTCCGAAGAGATCACCGAACTGTAGCCAGTGCACGGAGGTCTTCGTGTTTACGTACGGCCCGTGAAGGGCTTTGAAGAACCTTCCGTGCAACTCCTTCTCTTTCCATACGGCCTCCTGCTGAGAGGTACCCAAAACTTCGGGTTTTCGCCAGTCCTCTTTAGCCAGAGAAAGAGGGGTGAATCCTTTGTCACATTCTATGACCTCTCTATGCAAACCCTCGTCTCTTTTCTCCAGAAAATATGTCCTGAGGCTGTCAATCTCGCGGTTGTGCATGGTCTTAACGCTTAACAAGCCTCGACCACCAGCTTTCCGCGGGATATACAGCCTCATGACTGACGATTTCGGGTGATGCATTCTATGGAGGGTCATAGTTGTGCGGACTTTCCGATCCAGGGCTTCGAGTTCGGTTTGAGACCATCTGAGCACGCCAAAAGTGTAAAGGAGTACGGGTATGACCCAGCCGTTATAAGCTCGGATTTTATTGGCGCCCGACAAAGAACTTTTCAGTACTCTTGTAAGGCGCGCAAAAAATTCCTCGCGGACTGACTGTTTCATATCCGTCTCCTTCACACCGATGTTTTGTGACATGCCCAGATACCGGTATGTTTCAGCCTCGGAGAGGGTTTTAATATTAGAGGGATCTGTGGCGATCCCGTCAGTTTGAGTGACCCGTCCCCTCTGCACATGGAGGACCGCGCACTTGTCTATTCCGAGCGCCATCCTAATAGAGCTGCTATAATCGTTTACGATATTTAGCAGCTCCGTCAGGCGTTCAACGCTCGGAGCTAGCAGTTTCAAGTCATCCATGTACAGAAGGTGAGACACTCGTGTACCTCCTCTCCGATACTGAAATCCAGTCCCCGAATTCTCCAGTAAAGTACTGAGTGGATTCAGGGACAGGCAAAACCAAAGTGGACTCAAACAATCGCCCTGGAATATTCCCCTCTTTATCTCTATCCGGTCAGCGGTATCCGTCAATCGCTCGCCCTGGATAGTCAGGATCGTCGTCCACTGCCCCATGCATGCCTCCAAGAACACTCGAACTGTACCGTCGATCTTGTACAGCTCGAGTATCCTCCGGAGCCATGAATGGGGCACGGAATCGAACGCCTTTTTATAATCTATCCAGGCGGCGGAGAAATTCCGACGGTTACGCTTGACCACGTGGCCAGCGACAGCATCAATGAGGAGCAGCTCCTTCGATCCGCGGCTACCGCCCCTGCATCCGTTCTGAGCGCCAGATAGGATCTTATTCTCGTACACATGACGAGAGATCTTAGCGCTCAGAACGGATGTTAACGTCTTATATATTGTCGTAAGACAAGTGATGGGGCGATATTTAGATGGATCCGCGGTATCGTCCGTCTTAGGAGCTAAATGAGTGATCCCGGTTGTAAGGAAGTTCGGGAGCGTCCTGTTTTCGAGGGCACTCTGGAATTGCACGGCTAAGGTCGCATGGCTGGCCGAGAACGCCTTTAACCAGTAGTGCTGCAATCCGTCGATCCCCGGACTTTTCCAGTTCGGAGCCCGACGGATCGCGGCAACCACGTCTTCCTCCGTAATGGCAATGGCGTTCATCGGCGTATTATTATTATTATTATTATAGTTTGCTTCAATAGATAAATAAATAGAATTTAATAAAAAGTGAACCATGTTTTGACGAAATTACGACCTAAAAACTCTTTATTTGAAATTAGTAATAAATCGAATAATTCAATGAAACAATCGATTTTTTACTTGTATTACTATTAGTCGTCACCAGACTGTCTTATCCGACTGCCAAGCTTAGCAACTACGTGCAAAACCTCCTAAGGGGAAGTCTTATGCTCAGCAGTGGACACTTAAAAAAAGAAATTGATTCCCAAAGAGGGTTGACGTCAAGCAGGCGGCCGGTCGTAAAACTATAGTCCAAATTTTTTGTAATATGGACAAAAAATATATTACGCCGACCGCAAATAATGATTGGGATAAGGATAGGAAGATGATGATGATGAGACTGTTTTATAGTGGAATCGATTATTTGTTTCTTCACATTTTTATTAAGTTTTATTGAATAAACATAAGTATAGTATATTATTCATATATATTTATTCGTTTATATATGTAATTTTAGTATGTATGTATATCAATAATTAGTAGTACCGCATTCCAGTATTCTGACACTTCCCTATGGTTGACTGGGAGAGAATGCTTTTAGCATTAAGTCCGCCATGTACACATATTTGTACTAATAAATAAATAAATAAAAACCTATCCATCGTTCACTGCTGTATATTTCCTCTATATAGGTCTACCCTATTTTCATCACAAAATGCGATCCAGGATCTTCCTGCAACACGCTATGTATGCTTACATGGTATATAGGTAAATATTATTATTAGTCACAGTAATAACTTATATTTAAAGTTGTTACATTAACCATCGCAATAAACATAACGACTTCCTTATTTGTAGGAAATAGGGCTATAAGAAATAAAAATGCAACAGTGATTATCTTTGTAGTTTTTTTTTTTATAATTTATACGTAAAAAAGTATTAAAATATCTTCTATAAAGTCACATAACAATCAAACTTAAAATACACTTCTAGAGACTTCTAGAAATCACGTTAATATTCAACTAAAAATTATTATGTATTGTAAACACATCATGTAATCAGTCTTGCTATTGATAACCTACATCTTGAGTATTACGACCAGCAAAAAAGTATATAGCAACTAATAAATACATAAGTCTGTTTACTGACACATATGTATCGAACAAGTTCGAAAGATTAATAAACTTTGAAAGAATTATAAATAAATAGATTTCATTATATTCTATTAGTTAGTATACAGTAGGTTTAGAGTAAATGCCTCCAAATAAGACAGTGGTAGTAGATTTTTCGATTACAAAGTATATGAAAGGTCTGTTCGCATAGAAACTTGGTGATGATATCCTATCGGCTAAATAAGCACTCGACACCGCAGACGCTACAGTTCCTGACTCTGTAACCTCGATATCAGCTTTGTGGACGATTGCAGACACGAAGATATCTTCATTGGTCACTCTTTGAAAATTGGCCAAATTTGGCTGGAATATATCGTAAACTCCCATATCGTTTAACGGCTTGTTCATCACCACATTCGTTGTAATATGAAATCTTGGGATTTTCACATCAATCTCTTCCAAACCGAAGTCATCGACATCAGACTGGAGCTTCTTAAATATATCTTTTAGTGTGAATTTCGCAAAGTTTCTGTAAACATCATTCACTTTTAGTTTCGGGTACGGCAGGATGAATATCATCGAGTATTTACCATCGTCTCCATAAGGAAGCTCCAATACAAACGACTCTAATTCCCTAATATTTGAATAAGGGAACTGGCCTTTCTGGAACATCATGTTTACGGAACCAATCACCGTCTTTCCCTCATTGTAGAAAGGTTCAACGACCGTCTCCGACTTATTGAAAGGTGACTGCCAGAGTCCTTTAAACGATATGACGTTTGTCAATAGCATTCTCGCTTCAGCGAAGTCATCAGAGCGTAAAACGTTTGAGACTCGTCCGCCGGATTTTTCTATGTATGTATTCGCGATCCTAGCAGAGTTAGGATCTTGGAAGTCGAGCACTTTCACCGACGCGTCAAAGTCGTTTTGTATTGTGCGTTTGAATTCCGGGTACACATTGAAATCGTTGTCGAGAAACACAAAGTTTTTGCTGGTCAGCGTAACAGCATTAGTCTTTGAGTTTAGTACTATCGACGACAGTTCCTTGTAGCCTTTGATCAGGTTTCCCCTGTTTTTCGGGAGTATAAACGCCCTTGCAAGTTGGTTGTAACTATTCCCGGTTGCTCCTAAGGCCACACCTGTCATGAGAGTCCAGATTCCGTATGGTGATATGACGACATGGCCATCGGTCTGCAGTTGTGTGTAGTGAAGAAGCTCGATACTAAAATTCCTTGGTCTGTCATTGAAATCAACAGCACAGTAACACGTTGCGATTATAAACAACAATACGATAACGGACTTCATTGCGCTCTCGGGCATGTCTGGTAATGAACTAAACAATTATTGTGCGAAACGGGAAGTTGACTAATTTATAACGAGTCACAACAAACTTGTTGTTGTTGGAACTTCTACCGTATTGTCATAAAGATAAGATTTAATGTGGTTCTCGTTAAATTGTTAACTTGTAACTTTTATCCGGCAGTGGTGAAGAAGCGTGTAACTGGTTTTGAATCGTGACGATCGAGCCGATACGTGTTGTAGGTAGGCTATATGCTATTGCATACTGTTCTACCGGCAAGCGGTGTTCAAACTTGACTTTTTAATTTTATTGTTTATAATATAGGGCGCAAACGAGCATGCGGCTCACCTGATAGTTAGAGATCACCGCCGTTCATAGATATCTGCTACGTCAAAGAAATTCCAGGTGTATCGCCTTTTAGAAAGGAATAGACTCTTTTCTTCTGCTCGCTGTGTGGTCTCGGCACAAAATAGGGTATCTCTTCCTGTTCCGTGGGTACCGTAAGAGGAACTTAATGGTCGATGGATGGGTAGTACCTAGCGTCTTTCTAAATATTCGTGCATAATTAAATGCTAACTGCGGTTGCTAAAACACCTGCCAAGTGAGGCCATTACTAGCAAAACCACCCAAGGATAAGTTAGACAGCTAATGGCTTCTGTGATGATGATGATTACCTATCTATTTATTAATTAATAATTGTCATAATTATTCTTCCTATGACTAATTTCATTTGTTAATTTTAACCATGAGTAATGCATGAAACCACAGAAACAATCACACACTGTGATGCAGTAATAATGAAAATTATATTAAAATAAATGTGAGGTCATATAAGTACATTGCGAATCTGCATCATCAACATGTTACTATAAATCATGAAACTATACGTTTGGATAACGAGTTGGTAGTAGGGTATAGCGCAAAATAAGCTGATGATTCACCTGACAGGAGACTTACACGTACATCTCTCTTCGGTCCCACACTCTTGACAGATTGGTCGTGATTTTCACGATTATAATGGATCGTCGATGAGGCTCTTCTTCGCGATTGAGGCCCCCGCAATGTGTCTCCATCTATTTCTGCTCACAGCCTAGTGAGAGCATTCCACAATAGATTGTTTTAGGGCCGTTTTGATGAGGTCAGTCCATCGCGTTGGTGGTCTACCTCGAGGTCGTGTCTTGTACTGAATCTTGGATAATTAGATGTTCCATTTCGAATGATATAGCTTTAGCTACTTGAGAATTCGTTTTTGAACAGTCGACGATAATCTCTCTCTGATTTTCAGTTCCTTAAGAATGGAAACGTCAGTGCGTTTTTTTTTAAATTGATAATGGAATAGAGCCTCGCCTACGCTAACGGTATACGCTGGGGGAGCACCAGAAAAGGATGATAGATGAGATTAAAAAGGCAGGTCATTTAGAATATAGTAATGAATACACCTGGAATTCAGTATGATGGTTTCCAGGGTGAACCACGTGGAGATCGACTTGACAGGGTTTTTTTGCTAGCAACAGGGCTGGTAGTCCGCATTACTAGCAATCTCTTTCCCTACAGTTCGGTAGGTTAAGTAGTTAGTTTATACATTTGTAACAAATATACATAAACTCTCCTGTGAAGCACTTGTGCTTCTGTGGCTATATTTGTTTGAATATTTTGATATGGCAGGTAAATTATAATCGATTTTTAGTAATGGCGATACTAGTACCTTGTGGTATAAAAAATATAAACTTTACGTATGTGGAATTTGAGTAAGATAGTGTATTTTTTTATACAACTTAGAATGGCATACAAGCTGACGGCCCACCTGATGGAAGGTGATAACCGTCGCCTATAGACATGAGCAGTACCATGGACATAACAGAGTATACTGTTTCGCCCATGATACCCCCCATGCGTTGCCATTCTGAGGACTCAAGTGTTATTTCTCTGTACTCAGTAAATTCACGCCATATCCCACCCTTCAAACCGAAACACAGCCATGTAAACACAACTGCTTAACTGTATTACTTACTATAGTTACTTAGCAAGGTCTATTGTTGTCAACTCCATATAAGCACTTCAAACAAACGTTTTCCTGTTACCTTTGGCCGATCTCTAACACAATTTTGTGATTCACCATGTTATTATTATGTCTGCGGATAGCATAATTTGTCCGACAAATGTGACATAGTCATTAGAGCAACGGAATGGAACAAACCTCGCAAGTGAATCCCATGATATATCTGCTTGGTGCTTGCATAAAAAATATCAGATGGTAAAAAAAATTGTAGATTTACGTCTTAAAGCAAGAGAAATAAAAGATTGTAAAGTATCACACTTTTAGCATCAATGGCCGCAGGTAAGTAATACATACGAGGTATTAACGACGGGGTTTTCCAACGGAAAGTACGTACCTTTATTTATGAGCTATAAGCAGATGATCTTAATTTTAACACGATCGTTTTATCACCATAGGTGATGATGTTATTTGTTTTATATTAAAAATTCGTAAATTAAACTATGGGTTTGATACTCTGTTTTTTTTTTTATTATATGATAATGGAATGGTGACCCCATCCGCGCTATCGGTATACACCGGCGGGGCACCAGTGAAGGATGATAGGTGAGGATGAAGTAGGTCAGTTAGCCCATTGTGACGAATTCAACAAGAATTGTTCAAGATGGTTTACAGGGGGATCACTTGGAGGTCGACCTGATAGGGTATATTGCTAGCAATAGGACTGGTAGTCCGTATTGCTAACACTAGCCCAAAGGCGTATGTAAAACTAGCGATTTGCTCGCTACTTCATACGCGCGAACGTCAGAACTTTGAAAATTAATAAAATATATCATTTCTGAATGGCGTATTAAGATATATATATATATTATTATTAAATTAACTTTTCAAAAATACATATAACAATGAAAAACCGCATTCAATTTGATGCAATAATTTTTGTATGACGCTGGAACAAACATACATATTGATAGTAAGACAGAAAAATCTCTAAAAGTCTTATTCTTAATAATGCATATTATGTACAGACATCTTTAAGTTACATTTTTAATATATTATTTTTAAGAGAGGAGGGGTCACCTTGGAAAGGTGCATAATGTATTTCAGACATGTCTATGTGAAGCTTTGCTCGCTTCCAAAAGTGGGCATCAAACAATTCTAGGACGGGCACTGTCCACCCGCTCTCCGCCCTACTCTTAAATACGCATAGGGATAATACAGATTTTGATTTCACCCTGTATAGGTTTGATTGCTTTGATTTTTTATGACTTTTTGGAAACGAGTCGCTGAGTTACCTGCGGACTTTGGTCACGTAGGCATTTATTGACTTTCTGTGTCACACATGCACTCTTAAAATCTAAGGAAAAAAACAGCGTTTTCAAGGCACTTTCTTCCACGCACAACCATTCTTTGGAATCAACTTCCAGCAGCAGTGTTTCCGAACCGATACGACAACATAACCTTCAAGAAAATAGTATATTCCTTTTTAAAAGGCCGGCAGCACACCTGCAATGCCGCTGGTGTTGTGGGTGATCATGGGCGGCGGTAGTCACTTACCATCAGGTGAGCCGCATGCTCGTTTGCCCCCCGTGTTGTAAAAAAACAACTTTAAGACAAACAACGTTGAAAATACCCCCTCTCGAGAGAAGAGAAAGCAAGTAGGTATAATTTGAATATTATACCTACTAATTTTTGTAGTTCTTATGCTTTTTTTCGAGTAAAATGTATTTGAAAAAGCTGAAACTGCGTAGACATGTTACATCTCTGTGCATCTCTTATCGAATATATCATGGCGAGTGCTCTGAGGAATTTTTTCTTTTTTATGCTAATTAGAATGGCAAACAAGCTGACGGCCCACCTGATGGAAAGTGGTAACTGTCGCCTATAGACATGAGCAGTACCATAGACATAACAGAGTATACTGTTTGGAATATTATATAATAGTTTGTTCCGAATTTGCTGCTAATTTTTACCACCATACAACCCGCCAAACTAAAGTTCTATCTCAACCATCTGGATGAGTGGCGATCCTCTACCGTGCGTTTTCAAGGCATTTTCTTCCAGGTACAACCACTCTTTGGAATCAACTTCCAACAGCAGAACTTCCGAACTGAAACGACATCGTAACTTCCAAGAAAAAAGCATATTCCTTTTTAAAAGACCGGCAACATACCTGCAATACTTTTGGTGTTGCAGGTGTGTATCATAGGCGACAGTAGTCACTTACCATCAGGTGAGCCGTATGCTCGTTTGCCCCTTATGTTATAAAAAATTCGCTTCGTATCAATTTTCAACCAACTTCAAAAGGAAAGAAGTTCTCAATTCGATTGTATTTTCTTTATGTTTGTTACCTCATAACTCCGTCAGACTAGTAGTTTTTTTTAATGGGTCATAATGGAATGGTAGCCCCACCCGCGCTATCGGTATACACCGGCGGGGCACCAATGAAGGATGATAGGTGAGGATGAAGCAGGTCTTTTTTTGCTGGGTGAAAATGGTATGGTAACCCTGCCTGCGCTAACGGGATAGCTGGCGGAGCACCAGTGAAGGGTGATAGATGAGAATGAAAGCAGGCCAGTTAGCCCATTATGATGAATATATATCTCATAGCACTACTGGAGCGCTTCTTAATATTACAGAGGACATACGTCGGGCTATGGATAACACAAAATTAACTGCAATTGTTTTGTTGGATTTCAGTAATGCTTTCAATTCGGTTGATTTTGATGTTCTCCTTAGCACCCTTCGTGCAGTCAACGTTTCCACTCCAGTTATCGAATGGTTCTCTTCTTTTCTTTTCGGCCGCCAGCAGTGTGTTAGAACCAATGATGGTTTATCGAACTGGGCTTCATTAACTGCTGGCGTGCCTCAAGGCGGTGTACTTTCCCCTTTATTATTTTCTATCTTTATTAATAATATTTCTCGAGTCATTACTTCTCCCTTCCATCTGTATGCGGATGATCTGCAGTTGTATCGTCACTTTATGCTGTCTGAGGTTACACAGGCAACTTCAGCTCTTAACGATGATCTACTGGCTATTCACTCCTGGGCTAAATCATTTGGTCTTATTG